AACACAGCAGAATTGATTATTTCCTTGTAAATAAACAGTTATCTTCTTATGTTCAGAATGTATATTATAATACTACTAATTTAAGTGATCATCCATTTGTAATTATGAATTTTAACAGTAGTAATATTGAAAGAGGTCCTGGATTGTGGGTCCTCAATAATACATTGTTGTATAATGAAGAATATGTAAGGAGAGTAAAAGAAATTATATCTGATGAAAAAGGAATGAATTGTATAATAAAGATTTAATGATTTGGTAGGATAATCTTAAATATAAAATAAAGAGATATATCCAAATTTTCTCTTCTAAAATGGCAAAAGAAAACAGAAGAGAATATTATAGATTAGAAAGGCAGATCAACAGTTTATGTGAAAAGGCTGCTTGTAATGTAGATATTGATGTAGCTAAGTTAGAAAGTTTGAAACTTGAATTGTCAGCATATGAATTAGAAATATGTAGAGGTGCAGTACTCAGAGGCTGTTGAGTCAGATAAAAATACAAAGTATTTTTTGAATTTGGAAAAATATAAACAAGAGAGTAATTCTATAAAAGAATTACTAAATGACAACAATGAATCAGTTTACGATACTGAAGGTATTTTAGATTTACAATATAAATTTTATAAAGAATTGTACTCATGTGTAGATACAGATAATGATAAAATGTCAGAATTGTTAGATAGTGTAGATACAAAAATAGATGATAATGATTGTAACTTTTGTGATTCTGATATTTCGCATGAAGAAATTTGTAAAGCAATAATCAAATGTCAAAAAATAAAAGTCCAGGATCTGATGGACTTACAGTTGAGTGTTACTGTCAATTTTATAATGAACTCAGAAATGTATTAATTGATTTATTTAATGTTATTGAAAAAGAAGGTGTTTTAGGTAGATCTATGAAATGTGGAGTGATTAGTCTTATATATAAAAAGAAAGGTGATAAAAAGTCTTTAAAAAATTATAGACCTATTTCATTACTGCAGGTTGATTTAAAATATTAGCCAGAATAATGGCAAATAGATTTAAGATAGTATTACCTAAATAAAGGCAACAGTAGTATACCGGTGACACTAAGTTTGTATCTAATGATCAAACATGTTGTATTATTGGTAGAGATATTACAAATAATATTGCTAATGTAAGAGATATTATAGAACTTATTGAAAAAAGATGAACTTGAAGGGTATATAATGAAAATTGATCAGGAAAAAGCATTTGACAGAGTGAGTCACAAATGCTTGTTACAAATGTTAAGAAAATTTGGATTTGGTGATAGATTTGTAAAATGGATTGAAATATTCTATAATGGTATTAATAGTGCTGTAAAATGTAATGGATTTTTGACTAAATATTTTCATATTGAAAATGGCATTAGACAAGGTTGTCCAATAAGTGCTTTGTTATATGTTCTTGCTGCTGAACCTTTACATTGTAGAATTGTTAAAAATGACAAAATCAAAGGTATAAAAATCCCTAACTGTGAAAAAGAGGGATTAATTGATCAGCATGCAGATGACACTACATTATCTTTGTGTAATAAAGAATCTATACCAGAAGTTTTAAATGAATTTGATTTATATAGTAAGGCTACTGGAGCTAAAATTAATAAACAGAAGTCAGAAATATTATGTGTTGGTTATGGAAAGTTATCAGATGTAGAAAAAGAGCAATTTGGCTTACACATTTGTAAAGATGCTATTCAGTTACTTGGGGTTTATGTTGGTCCTAACAAATCACTGTGTGATGACATGAATTGTAAAAATAAAATAAAGAAAGTTAGAAGTCTTTTGTACATGTAGTTACAGAGACAACTTACTTTACAATGTAGAGTCACTGTTGTTAATACCTTAATGTTGTCAAGATTTTGGTACGCACTATTTGTTACATCTATGCAAGAGTGGGCATATTTAGAGCTTAAAAGATTATGTGTCAAATTTCATATGGGATAGTATATCCCATTTAGTTAAATATAGTACTATTGTTGATGAAAAAATGAAAGGTGGATTACAGTTTTCTGATATTAAATGTAAAATGTATGCATTTAGGTTGAAATATATAGGTAGACTAATTGATGATCAGTATCATGTGTTATGGAAAGATACATTCAAATATGTTGTATTCAAAATATATGGCATGCAATTAGGATTAGAAATATTATATACAAAAATACCAAATTGTGAATTAAAATGTATTCCTATGGTTTATCAAGAAATGTGTCAGGCTTTGTTCTCCCTAGGATGTAAGATATATTTTCAGTTAAATGTTGAAAATATATATGATCAACCTTTATTCTGTAATCCAAAAATTGTTTAAAATGATAAACAATTATTTGGTATGATTTCATACAAGCAGATATTGTGACTATCAAAGATATTTGTTATGAGGTGAAGACTGGGTTTTTACCCAAAAATGCAACTGTTGATATAATTGATAATGTATGTGATTATGTAAATATTCAATATGTAATTGACAGGTATCATTGTTTATTATCTATTATACAAGAGGACTGGGAGAATACTATTAACACTAATGTACATCATAGAAATATTGACAGAACAATAGATGTATCTGTATTGATAAAAAATGTACCTTGTGATTTGAAATCTTGTAGTGTTAAAAAGTTATATCAATGTTTGTTAGAAGACATAATTGAAGAGCCTATTGGGCCAAGTATATGGAAAACATTATATGATTTAGACGAAGCAGAATTGTGTAAAATTTGGAAACATGTCTATATTTTTGGAAGCCTTCAAAAATGATAGAGTTGGATTATAAAGTAATGCATAACTGTGTCTTTACTTATGTAAAATTAAAGAAAACTGGATTGTCTGATTCTAAATTGAGTGATGTATGTTATAAAGAAAGTGAAGATATTTTACATATATTTATAAACTGTGATCAACTAGAAGACTTTCATGATTATTTGTCTATTTTATTATGTAAAATATTTGAACACTGTGACTCGGATAAAGTAAGTTTAGTACAGAATGAAATGTTATTGTTAAACGGGCTCAGATGGAAAATGAAAGGTGTGAATGACCTTTTTTTTAAGTTTTTATTGTCAGTAGCTAGGTTCTGTATATTTCGAAGAAGAAATTTACTGAAAAATGGACACAAAAATGTAAATTTGATCAAACTGTTCCAATATACATTGAAACATTATGTTACTTATTTTTATGTATACCTGTGTCAGCAAAATAACAAGAACAATGCTTTTGAAAATAACTTTCTAAAAAAAATCCAATTGTACAAGAAACAGACGATGTCTTAGTATTTGATTTGTAAATGTATGACATATAGATGGCAAACCTCATTATTTCTATTAATGTATGCATGTTGATTAATGTTGTTTATATTTTATATTTGATAAGTTATCAGTTTTAACCTGTACTATATCTGATGATTCATTTTAATAAAGATTAAAAAAAAAAGGATTCCGCACTCTCACCGCGGCGGCTGGGGTTCGATTCCCCGTCTGGGAAGATATGTTTTGCACTTTGTCTCTCTCAGAAGAGGCCGATCGATATTGATGATAACAACGTTATATACTTTTAACAACTATTAGGTGTACGTAGGCAATGAAAAAAACGGTGTATGTCTGTCCTGTCATATACCATTCCCTTTAACAACCGGTATGCCTTTTGTTTAGCTGCAGATTACGAGGCCGACTGGTCGATGGATCAGTATATGAAATTGAACTGCAAATGCGCTTGATCAGCAAATTTCAATCCAAATATTCACAGTCGACGACATTAAGAAAATCATCGATCATCTTAGTGACAGAGTGGCATACATGGTCTGAAAATACACTACGTAAATTTAGTGTTCAATCGTTGTAAAGGGGATGTAGCTCAGTGGTAGTACAGAAGGATTGCGTGAAGGAATGTCATAGAATTACACAAAGGTCTAGATCAATAGAAATTGTCGATAAACATTTATTGGAAAATTTGGAACCAAATAGAAACGAAATAAAAATGTCAACACAAAAACACGATAAATATTCGGATGAATCTGATGATGAGGATTTATTAGTTGGAAGTGAAGATATCATTTCGAAATTTGTGATCAAGAAAAGTAGGTTATTACCAGATAGATTAAAAGGGACCGGTAAAATTATAAAGTACGATAGCGGACTTGACAATGTAGTAGAAGTTTGTTCAATAGATAATGATTATCATACATTTAAGAAAAATGTAGAACAAGACTTTGGTGATGTGAAAAACAATGAATTTCGTCCAGACGATACGGACGAAAAAATTGAGTTAATGGCCAAGTTTGCATTTGATAATGAATTATTTCTTTATGTGAAATGAAAGGCGTTGTAAATAATTTATTTTTTTAGCATTGTGAAATTATCGTTTTTGTTCAATTTCAAAAGATTAGTCTTTGGTTAATAACTTGTGCATAGCTGATTTAAAAATTTAGATATGTGAAGGAATTGGAAATCCATCCGCATATATTCTATTTGTATTTTCTATTTTTCATCTTGCATAACAGTTTTGACTAGAGTCACTGTTTAAGGAATTGAATTATATTGATTAAGTTGTATTTGATTAGAGACAGAATTTTTATTTATTCTATTTAAAAAAAGGAAGAAAAAAAGAGATATTTGAAAGTAAATATATAAACTGTAATATTGAATGGACATTTTCAAACTGTGATAATATTGTATACAAATGTGTGTATATGTATTTGATATGTGTGTATATAATGATTGTCGTATGTATATATATATGATGTATGATCAATAAAGATTAAAAAAAGAGCGTTCGCTTTGCATGTGAAAGGCCCCGGGTTCGATCCCCCGCATCTCCACTCCTAATTTTTTTGTCAATGTAATTGAGTTCAAATGAACTATGTCTATCGTGCACTATCAAAGGAAAATGAACAAGGAAACATAAGATAGCATCTCCGATCTCTCCTAGGACACCGACCTGAACACTTATCATGTTGTAAAAGGAGGAATAAAAACGGAAATATTGATGAAAATCCTGGGACGGGAATGTATCTCAGTGGTAGAGCGTTCGCTTCGCATGTGAAAGGCCCCGGGTTCGATCCCCCGGCATCTCCATATTTTTTGGTGCATGGCAGAACAAGCGGCATCGGGAAATCAAATTAAACTCGTCCTCATAACGCTGCATGCTTTGCTGTGAAAATAGTAGAAAGCGCAACAAAATATAATTGTGCTGTTTGATCAGCGCGGTCGGCACAGATGACTTAAAATTTCAAAGGAAAGTGTGTCGCTCTTTACAGGCATGTAATCAAATTCTCGATAAACATTTCAGCCGAAGCCGAATTTATATAACAGTCCTCTCGCTGACAGGTTTTATTTGTGTCACAATTTTAAGGGTAGCTCTCGCAAATCATGGTATTGGCAGTCAGAACAAATCGAATGGTAATGTAGATGATGACAGTTTGAAACAGTTAAACGTTCTATGGATCCTTTGGGAGGTTCATACGCAAACCATATAACTTAAAATGTACCAGCTGTGCCGCACCTAATAATTAATCAATTATTCACTCTATACTTCAGCTAGTAGATAACAACTCCACTGAAAAAAAATATTAAGTCAATTTGAACATTCATCATTAATTCACAGCGATTCAGAAATATCTTTTCCATACGAACGAAACTAGATCAAGTGTAAACAATGCACAAGACTCAACTTTGGATATACTGCCCGAGAGAAATGTGATTACTACATCATCATGTCACACGTCACATTTGAAATTCTAAAAAAAACACACAAAGTGACGTCACATTTGAATTTGTAAAAATATTTCCCAAAATTAAGATAGGATTAGGATTGATTCAAGATTAGATTTGTAATACTGACATTACATTTATTAATAACAATTGTTAATAATCTTAACCGTAACTCCTCTGATTTCATTGTAATTACTGTATATAGCCTTAGGGATTAGATTTGTAATGTCAACAAGTTTTTGTGTAACATGCAGCAATCGGAAACTGATGTTGTTTACACAAGGTATCTATCGAGTGTATGGGGAGGACACATACAAGCTATTTTTCTCAAAATTTGTATCTAAGGGCCGTGTCACCCTTCGATATTAATTTTTCATGTGTAGTAGCTTTTGAACTGATTTGAGATATTGTTGATGTCTACCTTTCAAAACGTTTTCATACGTACCTTTCTAGGGTAAAGAACAAACAAGAACTCGCAAAGCGTTTTATGTTCGTTCCAGCCGATAAAGCGGCCAACAATACAGTAGTGGTATGACGTAAATGTTAAACTGAAATTTTTTTAATACTGAAATTATAAAGTCTTTTAAATTCAAGGCCGTAAGCTCTATAGAGAGTCAAATAGTAGAAAATCATAGCATAGCATTTCCACGTCTCAGCTAAAAGCCTCCTCTGACCATTTGGAGCCGTTCCTACTATGTATTTTCTACCTAAACTACACAAAATTCGTAATATATCGTTTCATCTCTGCTACTAGTAATTGATCCCCAACTAATCTGTTGTCCTTTAAACTAGTTCTCTTACTTAACTCTTTGGATATTTAAGATAAATCTGACACTAAAAAGGTATAACAAAAAAAAAACAACACTCCAAAGCAAATTCAAAAAGGAGAGGTCCATAAAAACTGACAAAATCATACGCCATCAATCAACGGAACAAGTGAAAAACAACTGCCATATTCCTAACTTGCTACAGACATTTTCTGAAGAAAATGGTGGGTTTAACTTGGTTTTATAGCTAGCTAAACCTCCCACCTGTATGACAGTTGTTTATAGTTCCGTTATATCGTCAAAAGTGGGTGAGCAACCCAAACAGACATAATAGGTTAATGTGACAATAAAAGGTCTTGTAACTTTCCGATGAACTTTTTGAGATAAAGGACGAGATGGTCTGAGTAGCAGCTGCAAGCTCGTGAATATCGTATGAGTTGAGAAATGTATACTCAATACGCACGTGATGTTGGTGTATTGTTGATAAGGTGAGGAAAATTTATAATTTCAAAATTGATTCAAACAAAAAAATCTCTGAAACTGACATTATCAAGATGCTTGATTTCTTGATTGACAACATATCGGCATTCCCATGGGAACCAACTGTGCTCCTTTTTTGCCGACTTGTTCCTTTATTCACATGAGGCTGACTTTATACAGGAACTTCTTAGGAAGAAAGAAAAGAAGTTACCAGTATCCTTTAACTTTACTTTCCGCTATATAGATAATGTTCTCTCCCTAAGTAATTCACAATTTGGTGACTATGTCGAACGCATCTATCCAATCGAATTTGAGATAAAGGATACAGATAGAGTTTAGTCTGCCTCATATCTTGACTTACATCTAGAAATTGACAATGAAGGTCGGTTGAAAACAAAACTTTACGACAAAAGAGATGATTTTAGCTTCCCAATTGTGAACTTTCCATTTCTATGTAGCAACACTCAAGCAGCGCCTGCATACGGAGTATATATCTCTGAGTTGATATGATATTCCAGGGCTTGTATATCCTATGATGATTTCCTTGATAGAAGGTTGCTGCTCACAAGGAAGCTATTAAACCAAGAGTTTCAAGTGGTGAAGTTGAAATCATCCCTTCGTAAATTTTACGGACGCCATCACAAGTTGATTGACCGTTATGGAATATCTGTTTCACAGATGATAGCGGATATTTTCCAATCGTCGTAACTACAATTCCGTCCCATTTTCCTCGAATGTGACCTACCGAATTAGACTTATTATCGGGTTTGTACTAACATGAGCAACACGATGGGTGCCACATGTGGAGCAGGATCTGCTTACCCTTCCGAAGTACCCGAGATCATCCCCAGTTTTGGTGGGGTTCGTGTTGTTCAGTCTTTAATTTTCTATGTAATGTTTTGTGTATGTTATTTGTCTGTTTGTCTTTTTCTTTTTTAGCCATGGCGTTGTCAGTTTATTTTCGACTTATGAGTTTGATTGTCCCTTTGGTATCTTTCGCCTCTTTTTTTAAATAGTCTAAGGATAAATCGCGTGCAATTGATGGCCTTTTCAATTAGGTTGATAGTTTTTCGTTGCTCTACTCTACCTGTGACTACCTCACAATCAAATCAGACAGAAGTTTTCTTATTTATTTGAATGGTCTTTTGATATAACACTAACAGCTTTAATATTACTGTACCAGATGCGCATTTCGACAATAAAGCTCTCTTCAATGAATCACAAATGCCAGAGGCTAAAATAATTGACAAAACCCAAAAAGGACAAAAAGGTAAAGCCAATGCTGAGCATTGAAAAAAATGATTGCAAATTTGCTGCAACTCATATAGAGCCTTCTTTTGTAATGAAAAAGGTGAATATGCTTGATATACTAACTGAAACTGGACATGGTGATTAAAGCTGTAAATTTTCTCCTTGTAAACATCTATCTACGTTTCAGCAGTATTGTTTATTGACAGTTGTTAGTATTTCTTTTTATACTAATTGCACCCTTTAATAGCAGGCTTTTTCCTGTATTATTAACCACAGTTTGTGGCTAAATTCAGATGAAATGAAAAATTTTAAAACACTAATCAGCGTTACCTTGACGATATTTTTTGTTTAAATAATCAAGAATTCTCTAATCATAAAATACCCTTGGGAGCTGACTTTGAATAAATCTAAAACAGCTATAATTGTCCTTTTCTATATTTTTGAGGTTTGGCTGTACTCGTACATTCTTATTTTTATGGTGATGTTGTTTACAAGAGCCAATAAACTTAGATACGATCTTGCGGCTCTTTTCACAAAACATCTAAGAGTAAAAATACTCGCAAGTCATACACATTTCAGTATAACTTAAGATCAATTTTAATCGCAAGATTTTTTGTGAAAGAGTAGCAGGTAAACTTATTAATATGCTAACACTGTAGTACTTTAAAAATTGCATTTTTCGGTACTTACATTGATTAAAAAAAAAATAATACATAACTTCTGAGTGTATTTATTATTGCAATTTTTTAAAATGGAAAAAAATGCAGATTAATAATTTTGATTTCAGTAAATTTTTCATACAATGCTATAAAAATTTTAAATGTGAGTTTTCTTTTTTTTGTGACACCTATTCCGTCGTAATTTTCATAAAAATAAAAACATCCCAAAAATTTCTAAATTTAGAGTAAATAGTTGTGAACTTTGTATGGTTCACATCCTGTCCTGTCATGCATTCATCAAACCGATTGAATTTTCAGTCTGGGAAGACATGATTTATTTATTGCCTGTAGTTGTAGCGGGCTTTGAACCAGAACTGCATGTACTCTTAGATAGGCACTTTCGTCTCTTTTGTATTTTACATATTTGTTTGTGCTTTGTGATGATCTGTTAAGTCAAGCCTTTCTACTGATTTGAAGTTCTTATGTTGTGCTTTTACACCAATGTCCCAGGTTATGGAAGGAATGATTACTCACATAAAGCTTTAAACCCACAACATTCTTTATGAGCCTGTCCCAGGTCAGCAGTCTGTATTTCAGTGGTTGTCGTTGGGTGCTGTCTGCGATATTTGGTTTTCATTAATTGTTTTAGCATAAATCATGCGTTTGGTTTTTTCAATTGAATTGTTTCACATTTTGTCATGCTGAGGTCTTTTATTGCTTACTATATCTTCTGGATTTTGATCATTGTTGTAAGCTGTGCTGTGACCTACAGTTACATACATTCACATCCTGATTAGAGGTCTCATTGGCAATAATATCACCTATCATTCTTTTTATATTAATAAAAAGTAAGAAATTTAGATGATAGCCTTTCAAAGACATTATTTCACATTGCTTAGGGCAATAAGTCCTGATAACATTTTCTATCAGCATGTCTTTGAGCTTGTGATAGCGTGAATAGTAAGTACCCTTTCATATAAATTATATCAAAATTCTTTAAGAATTGCAAGAGCAGATCTCCTTCATACTATTCATCACAATTGGGGGCACAAAGCAATTATAAAAATTAATTTGAGAAAGCACATTAGAAAATATCTTTCTTTTTTACCCCTTATTCTATATCTTAAAGATACTAGGTCCTCCTCATGCTTTGTTGCAGTTATGACAAGAAAAATTGAAGAACATGGAAGGACAAGTAACTTATAAAATGTGACAGACTATAACACACCTGTACCAATATAAATCACAGAAATTCCTGTCCTTATAAAAATACCATGATGGCCAATGAAATTAGATAACAAAAACAATACAGTAGTCAACAAAATTTACTTCACAAATTTGACAAAGATTTTTTTTACAAGAAAGAAGATCATATTGTCTACTAAAACAAATAAAAAGATATATAATATTTAATAGTAGCACTACTTTACCAACAACAGAAAATTATATATGGTTAACGTAACCTGCTTTACAAGCAAATAATGAAAAATACAACTTCATCCAACAGCACTTGACTGATCACATGACCAATAAATGCTATGGTAACATGAAATGAATGCCAAATGGTTTGTGATTATAAACTGTGAGATATTTCATGCTGCAAAAAACTGAATTCTGACATGAATGATATGGTTTTCTGATCACTTTAGATTTTCTCTGCAACTAAATGTTGATGATTTCCATGAATTTACAAAGAAAAATTATTAATGGAACAAAATTTTATAAGGCAAATAACCAAATATATTTCTATAACTACTTTAATTATGTTTTGCTTACCAAAAGTAATTATTAAGTAAAGTGTACAATAAAATCAAAATTTTAATAACTAAGTTCAAATTAGCTTTAAAAATTTGCTCATTCAAATAAAAAAAGAAGAAATATCATGTAAAAATAACTTATTCTATATTTATAAATGTTTTTTTGGTACTGTTTACCTGCCAGTAGAACATAAATTCTGGAAACAATATCTATTTCACTCTTAAAAAAAATTTTGATAATTATGATAAAATTCATGATAGTCAAAAAAACCTTTTAACTGTCCTTAATATTAGAAAATTTTAAATGTATCTTTTTAAAAAACTTATTTATGGTATATGTTAATTGTTGCTACTGGACATCCAAAGAATAACTGTTTACAAGATCATGTTAAGTCAATTTAGAGTATTTAAAAATGTAATAATGAAATACATTCATGAGAATATATGTCTTACTGTGCGACTAGATAATTTGTGCCAAATGCTTTATGTACAAAGCAAAAAAGCAGATTCACTTTTAGTGAGGGCAAGGATACATCAGTTTCACATATGAAAGTTAAATGACATTATAATGTAAAAATATCCACAAAAACACAATACCATTAACATTTTGTCAAGTAAAAGTGTGGAGGCTTATAAAAATACAAGATGTAAATTCTACATGAAGTATAGTAGCAATGTATGATGAGTATAAAAGAAGATTAATATGATGTGTCATTGGCATTTTTAATGCAGGATCTGTCCTATGTAAAGTTAATTCATTGAACACCTATAAATAACCATTATCTAAATAATGTGTAAGACTTGGATACCCTGACTTTAAAAAAAGAATCTAGATGAAAAGGGTAGCTGAACAGCTTTGTACAATAAGATGACTGATTATTAGATCATTTTATTACATTGATTGCAATGAAAAACCATGATTTCGCAGTAAAATAAAACCCCATTAATTCATATGTGAAATAAATCTGATAATTTCACTCCTCTGATGTACAATGGGTGTTGTCAATAATGTTGCATCAAAATGAATTGAGAATGTGTATACAAATTTTAGTTCCTTGCAACTTCTACTTTATTTTCATTAAACAATATCAATTGTCAATGTAATAAAAAAAAAACTAATCCAGGATTTTTTATCAAAAAATTTTCAACTATTGAACAAACAACACTGTTTATTACATGAATTAATGTGTTGTTAGGCCACTTGCTGAATTTTGTCTATAATTGAATTCTTGGGTAAGTTATGCTATTAGAATTATTACAGGTGTTCTGAGATGTGAACTTAATGCAAACTTAAGCATTGTCATTCTGGCATTTAATGTAGCTCCAGAGTTACAAAACAACTAGAGCAATGGTAGAATCCAAAAATATGTAGTAATGAATGTCATTAATATATTACCATAATTTTCTGTAAAAAGAACCTTTAATATAGAGCTTAAACCAAAGTAAAGATGAGAATAACAACATAACATAATTGATGCATAATGTGTGTCACAGGGTTCTGAGAAATGAACCAGAATGTAAATTTAACCAATAAGGAAGAACAAATGAACAGATATTTCTACTAGCAGACTATCATATATATGCCCTGCTGCTTTACACCTAAAATTTAAATGTTAATATTGAACAACCTAGTATCAGTAGAAATTAGTTCAGGAGACCATCTGTTTTAATTTACAAGTTCTATAAAAAGTCTTCTTATGATACAGTAATTTCCGTAGACAATTTTACATTAACTATGACTGAAATGGAATCAAATATTGATTTAGACATTTACAACTAAAAGCAATGCTGATTCACTATGCATTAAAACAACTTATTTCACAAAAGCTGATCTTGCACACTGACATTAAAATTATGGCCACAAAGGTTCTCAACAATAATTATGAATTTGGTCAGGGTTCTGTTTAAAAATTAACAAAAAATTATCATCAGGGTAGAAGTATTTATACCCTTGACTCCACCTATCTACTTGTCAATCATCAGTATCGCCTCCTCCTTTCTCAAACAAAATCATTCCTGATTTAATTATACCATTAAAGAGAACTTTTCACTGTGGCAAATACATTACCAAAAATATCTACAAATGTCCTATCTTTTACATTTCAAATACACTTTCACTACAACTTAAGAAACTTATTCAAAAACAAACTTGATTCCTCAAATGCCAAAATTATGAATCAAAGTAATTATAAAATCAACGAGAATGAAGTTCCTAGATCTTAACAAACTAGAAAAGTACCTTTAAATGTAATGTATCAATAAAAATATTCAATACAGTTTTAAATACACACTTAGTACATTGTCTCCTATCTTATCATTTTTTGTTTGTTTTAAGAAAGAATAAATTTTACTAAATATTGAGGGTAATTAAATTCATTTTAAAATAAATTAGTTTTTCACTAAAAAGATATATGTTCTTATATATATATAATATAAAAAGAAAACTTCAGTGATCCATCATGATCATAAACATTCATTTTCAACTTGTAATTAACAAATTCACATTATTTCAAATCTTATTGTTACAAAGTAAAAAATACTTTGCAACAATGGTTTAATTAAAACAGGAACATATTTGATAAACACAACTATCAAACAATCTTTAAAAAAATATGTATACATAATATATTACAGAACAATAAATGATAAATATAGAATTTTACAACTTTATACATGAACAATTTTTAAAATTTCCATGAAGAAAACAACACAAAATATATTCTTCTCAATTATATAACAAACATAAAAACCATCAACAAATTTGGCATGGAAACCCTTGAAATGTAATCCTTTGTTCTTCAGTGTTAACTTCCTTCTGTCCAGCAGACTCAAAACAATATGACCACATGTATAAGCAGTCAGACAAAAAACAACAACTTATCCCTAACAAACATGCTTATAGGACACAGATTGCTTTGTATAACAATTATTGTGACCCAATTCCAATTATAAATTCAAATTGTATGTATAATTTATACAACAAAAATCAATTTAGTGAAAAGTGAAAGGAAAACATTTTCTTTCCAGTAAAGGAAGTAGCTTTGCAAACTATCAAGGGGAACAACTCTATGAACAATTTGGTTCCTACACACACTGAAAGCTATCACAGTTACATATTGCACTAAGGCTGTACACTTGGGATCTACATCTCGTTATTTATATACAAACTCCATTAGACATCTAAAGTGATACACTAAGTTTAATATCAAAATTTACAAAAGAGACACAAGAAAAAATCACTGGTTTATTTTGAAGTGGTCCTCTCACTCAAAAGGCATGTAATTGAACAAGTATTAAAAGGAACATAACACATCTCCATCATTAGACAAGTTAGTAATTACAGTCCCGAATCTGTAAACTTATCACTAATGCACAGACAGTATCTCATTGCACCAACATATCTTTTTCTTTAGTGGCACAACCCATTGCCCTTCTCTCTCAATTTCTGAAGTATTCCATGTCATCTTATGACTCGCCTTCTTCCATTGGCTCTGATTGTTCAAAAGAACTACTGAAAAAAAAGAAATAACCATGTAGTAGACTCCTTAAAAAACTATAACAAAAGTAGATTGTCGAAGATTTAAATATTTTTGCAACCACGACATTGTTCATTGTAATTTCACTCCTGTAAAAAAAAATGTTTCTAAATCCAAGCTGTTATAATGTATTTCAAATAAGGTAAAATGTTTAACTTTCTCTGTGGCATTTGCTTTTTAGATAAGTACCAAATCCCACATTGATAGAAATACAATCATATTGTCATCCATTTGTAATGTAATACAGCCTGTGAAGCTGTTTCCAAACTAAGCTGTTTTTTATAAACATATTTAGTGGTGCCATTTTGAAAAGTAGGTCTTATGACAACCATCTTTATTTCAGATCGTTTCAGAGACACAATTGTGGTTGAGGACCATATAAGAATTATTTATAACATAAACCAATTTACTTGGCTTGGTGATTTATAACAATATGTTCACTGAAGTAGAACATTTTCCATTTAATGACCATTGGTAGGCATCATAAACTTGAGAGCATAACAAATAAACAGCTGTGCCAAGAGCGCATGATAAGCCCTTATTGTGCATATTGAAATTGTTGCAAGAATATAATGTGATATTTCAAAGGCATATAATTATAGGTAAATAAAATGGCTCTGTAGAAGAACGTGCCTGAGGATACCATTTTTAAATCAAACAGTTTGTTATGTTCACCAATTCCAACAATTACGTAAAGTTTCAACTGAATCAATCCAAGCAAACTTGAGCTATGGTACAATATGTGAAAAATTTACTTAAATCTGACAGTTAAAGCAATAATGGAGCAACAATTAGGAAAATTAACAAAATTAAAAAAGGGATCTTTCTTTCATTGATCCCCAAAATAATGTAAAGTTTGGAGGAAATCAATCCAGGAATACTATAGTTTGTGCACGATTTGTGAAAAATTGCATTCAATGTAACAGTTAAAGTTCCATAACTCTTGAATGGCAGACCTGTAAATAAAATAAATGTGGATAGTGTTCACATGTGGACACAGATGATGCCCCCGCTTGCATATCATATAGTTATAAAGGGACATAACTGAAGAACGGTAAAAGTGACGCTACCCAAATTTGATCTTGATCTGAGTTTTGTGGTAATAAGCATTGTGTGTAAGTCTCATAACATTTGGTTGAGGCTAACTTAAGTAGAGAACAGAAACTTAAAATTCAGCAATTTTTCTATTTGTAAACATGCATAACTCTAGAACGGTTGTGTATAAGTTTTATAACATTTGGTTGAGACAAACTAAAGTAAGAGAACAGAAATGAAAAATTCAGCAATTTTTATATAAAGGGACACAACTCAAGAATGGTAAAAGTGTTGCCACCAAATTTCGTACTTAATCTGTATTATGTAGTAATAAGCATTGTGTATAAGTTTCATATCATTTGGTTGAGGCACTAAAGTTAGAAAATGGAAACAAAAAATGTGTACTTGATCTTAGTTTTGTGGTAATGAAAATTGTGTATAGGTTTCATAATGTTTGGTTGGGGCAAACTTAAGTTACAGAATGGAAACTAAACATTTTGCAATCTTTCGAGTTATAAAGGGGCATAACTGAATAATGGTTAAAGTGACACTACCCAAATTCAACTTGATCTGTGTTTTATCAGTAGAAGTCAAAATTAAACATTGCATTGTATAAAGCATTGAATGTAGTTGATTCAATTATAATCATGGACAAAGGAAGATAACTCCAATTTTAATAAAAATTACTTGATATTTAGAAGAAAATAAAAATTTTGCAATTTTTCCATTTATAAAGAGGCATAACTCTAGAACTGTTAAAGTGACACCACCAAAATTCAAACTTGATCTGTGTTTTGTGGTAATAAGCATTGTGTATAAGTTTCATAACGTTTGGTTGAGGCAAACTTAAGTTAGAAAACAGAAACGAAAAATTCAGCAATTTTTCCATTTGTAAAGGGGCATAACTCCAGAACAGTAAAAGCGACGCCACCAAAATTCAAGCTTGATCTGTGTTTTGTGGTAATAAGCATTGTGGATATGTTTCATAACATTTGGTTGAGGCAAACTAAAGTTAGAGAACAGAAACGAAAAATTCAGCAATTTTTCCATTTGTAAAGGGGCATAACTCTAGAACGGTAAAAGTGACGCCACCAAAATTCAATCTTGATCTGTATTTTGTGGTAATAAGCATTGTGTATAAGTTTCATAACATTTGGTTTAGGCAAACTAAAGTTAGAGAACGAAAACCAATTTTGGGACATACGTACGTACAGACAGACAAGGGTAAAACTTAATGCCCCCTCCGCTACGGCGGGGGCATAAAAATCAGCAGGTTTCATACAGACTTTGAGCTTGCTATTAGAAACAGCAAACACTCTTTGATATGAAATTATTTAGTCATGTTTTACATGTAATTGTGTTTTGTTTTCTCCATTTTATCAGTATTAAGTTAAGCACTTTTCTGCACCAATTCTCATTGTATATTCTTTTATGCACATTTTGTTATTCAATTACAATTCATTTTGTTACTGAACCAGAATTAAAAGGAGGGTGGTGATTGCTATAAAAACAAAACAATTTATAACACTCTATATTTTAATGTGACAGTCCAACGTAGAAAACGTCTTTGAATGGGTTTTTTTCTTTCATAAATGTTATACCTTCTCTTTCCTGCCACCATAGACAAAGAAGCTAATGCAGACACAGTATCAGCCTCCTCCATTTCTCTTTTCTGGGCCTCCATCAATGAATACTGTATTGTTCCCAGGTACTTTTGTACTACAGGCCAATATTTAGCTGGAAATGAAACAAATAATACTTTTTATTCAGGTGCATTAACATGAACTATACAAAATTGTATGACACAAAACCCCTGCCAATGCCAAAATAAGAACCAAAGAGCTTGGTAGACCTTGGGGGAAGTATGGCCATTGTCTCCCTTTATACTTGAACTCTGAGGATTTTAGTAAAAAATTCAATATAAAATCAATATACCGTACTAATGAAACTCAAATCGTTAACTTTTTTTCCAGCCTTCTGCATATGCCCAAAAATCAACTTTCTGGTACTGTATTTCACTTCTGGTATCATTTGTTTCAGGACTGTCCGTAAAATATAAGGAACAAGCATTCTGAGAGTATTGCATGGCAATACATAGTCCCCTACCGGTTAAAAATTCATTGTACTGGAACAAAATGCTAACTTGATCTATCATTTGTCATGGTGTAAACTATATAACAAATATCAAGTCAATATCTTCCAGCATGACGAAAAAAAGTGTGGAAAACTGATTATTTAAGTGAATTTTTCGAAGTCTAAGGACCATAACTCTGCACAAAATCATCAGACCGAAACAAAATTTGAACTTGATCTGTAACTTGTCATGATAAAACTATATACCAATTATCAAATCAATATCTTCAAGCATGACAACAAAAGTGAAGAAATCTGATCATTTGAGTGAATTTTGAAGTCCAATGACGATTACTCTGCACAATATCATCAGACCAGAACAAAATTGGAACTCAATATCTTCAAGCTTGACGAAAACTGATTATTTGAGTGATTTTTCTAAGTATAAGGACTATAACTCTGCACAAAATCATCAGACCAGAACAAAATTCGAACTTGATCTGTAACTTGTCATGATAAAACAAGACATCAAATATCAAATTAATATCTTAAAGCACGAAGAAAATGACGTCATCAATATAATTCCTAACAACAGAACCAATATCGGATACGTTACCTTATTTCAATTACTTTTTTCAACAGATATTATATTGGGAATTCATTTTCTTATTATTGCAATTTGGTAAAGCCTTGTTAAAAAAATTTCACCAATGTGGCAGCCATGAAGCTAATGGTGTAGGGTATCTCAAAATTTAATTACATACTGTTTTAATGATTGATGGCCATAGTACATTTTAATGTATTTAAATAATTTTGTATACAGACTCTTTCACAGGTATCACCTGCCTCAAACTATTTCCCCAAAATAATTGAACTGCACATGTGCTTGCCAGTACCAAAATAAATATTCCACACGATTGATAACTAAAATACTAAAAACTAAAATCTTTTTTTATTTATAATTCATGAAAAAAGTTGAACAAAATCTATAATATCATCAGTCATAAATGGCACTACAGACTTTCTTTGAACAATCCAAAGGTTTTATACAAAACAGTAAAGATTTCCCTATTATTTCACTATTATTCAGGGTAAAAATTATATAAATTGCATACCCTGAGTTTTCAAGACTTCTTCAAAAGTTTCTAAGGCTGGGGCACATGGTGGTTTCTGTAGTTCTTCCTCCTGAACTGAAGGTAGCTATAAAATAAAACAGTACAGTATTATATTATGTAAATGTAGGTAATGTAAAGCAATAGTGCCAAGATACAAACATATGTGGGTTTAATTAATATTAAATTCTTAAGAAATTCTTGTACCTGTTTTAACAATTATCCTTGGAATAATCTTGCACAATTTGAAAATTCAACTGAATTTTTAGTAAGTACGAATGTTCTGAAAATTCTTATGAATATTAATATTAAATATCCAAAATAATTTTTTTTCTGCAGATCAGACTCTTTTTTAATAAATGGGGAATGTGTCCATGGGACACAGATGATGCCCCCGCTTGCATATCGTATAAAGTTATAAAGGGACATAACTGAAGAACTGTAAAAGTGATGCTACCCAAATTTGTACTTAATCTGAGTTTTGTGGTAATAAGTATTGTAAATAAGTTTCATAACATTTGGTTGAGGCAAACTTAAGTTAGAGAATGGAAACGAAAAATTCAGCAATTTTTCCTTTTGTAAAGGGGTATAACTCTAGAACAGTAAAAGTGACGCCACCAAAATTCAAACTTGATCTGTATTTTGTGGTAATAAGCACTGTGTATAAGTTTCATAACATTTGATTGCGGCAAACTAAAGATAGAGAACGGAAACGAAAAATTCAGCAATTTTTCCATTTGTAAAGGGGCATAACTCTAGAACTGTTAAAGTGACGCCACCAAAATAATTCAAACTTGATCTGTGTTTTGTGGTAATAAGCATTGTGTACAAGTTTTATAACATTTGGTTGAGGCAAACTAAAGTTAGAGAAAGGAAACCAACTTTGGGATGTATGGACGGAGGTACAGACGGACAAGGGTAAAACTTAATGCTCCCATCACTCAGGCAGGGGCATAAAAAAAAAATGAGACTTGCACTTTCTCTTTAAAATATTAGATTAACAAACCTCATCTCCAGATAATGCCTTGACACACATTTCAGCTGCATCACTGATGGCAGTCAACTCATATCCTCCTTCCAATGCTAATACAATCTTACCATCAGCCAATGACATTAGCTCTCTTGTCATGTGACCATAACCTTTAAAAAATACATTTATATGTTTACAAATTGTATTTCAAAAATTATCATGTGTCATGTATCTAACCAATTGAAACTTTTAAATATGAAGTTTAAATATATTATTTTTGTCTCAGAATCTAAAGTAGCAGGTTACTGTTGAATTCACAACTTTAGTTCATTAAAACCATTTCAATTTTAAGCTGCTGCTTTTAATATATCTTTTAAGGATTGTACTGAAAGAGGTATGAATTTGTATGTACTGTTTGCTGTATATCTGTTAGTATATTCCATTAACTCTGGTATTAATTTGAAAGTTAACCCTTACTATCAAGTCCTCAAAAATGACCAAAATGCTTTGGAATACATGTATATATATTTTTTTTTATTCTCAAAGGGCTCTCGTCCAGATATAGACATTTAGTGCTAATAAAACAATAATCAATCAATCATTATCCTCAATATAGTACTTCTAATTATGATTACATCATAGATATAAAGATTTACATTTTATTGTAAGTAATTAAAAGGCTTTAGTTTTTATTTCCAATATTTTCCCAATGAAATAATACAACAAGTTTATCACATATCTCCTATAATGTACCCCTAATATAACTTTGTGAACAGAGTTATTTCCCTTACTTCACTGCAGACATGAATAGCTTGGTTTTTCTTGTCTAGTGATATGATCTGAACCTGGTCAGTGGCCATATATCATCACAATTTGACACCTTTGAAGATAATGTTCACATTTCAATAACACGTAACCATTACTTCTTACAAGAGAATTACTTTCAATAATAGCCCTTAATGCTTGAAAAGCAGATGCTGATTCAGGGTTTGAAGAAAGGGGCGGGTAATAGAAAAAAATACTTAAAATTGCTAGGCAAAAATTTTTTGGATCATTTAACGCCTGAAAAGGGCGGACAAAAGTCCTCTATACCCCACCTGAATTCGTCACTTTAAAGAAGAACACATGGCTACTACTATACGCTAGGAAAGAACTGAAAATACAACACAAATAAATAGTGATATAACATACAGGCAGGTGAGACCTGGTATCCACCTAGAGGAGCAGGATGACCTTGTGCTGCATCAAATCCAGATGAAACTAATACAGCTTCTGGACGAAATTCTCTGGCAATTGGCATAATTATGGTTCTGAAAAATAAACAAGATGTACCTAGCTAACTATATCTATAATGAAGAAACTATTTTAAGCAGAGGACTTCAACTCTGTTTATTATTAAAACTACACAAATGGCTTCACAGGAGGTACATATTGCTATGCATCAAAATTATTTCTAATACCGAATTCAGTCATGTATTGTCCGTGTTTTTTATTCCAAAATTAAAATTGCCAGGCAGGGGTGCGGATTATAGAATACTACAAGTAAGAAATAGGAGAAAAACTTGATTTTTTATTGAAATTGTAGCGGATGCCCTTATTTCTATTCAAAACTATTAATTCACCTAATCCATATTAACATGCAAATTTTATCGTATTCTAAGTATCGATTTTCCGCATACTCTCACTATATTTGTTTGTGATTTACATGTGCTATTCTGATATCCAGCTGATGTCAAACACAACTTTTACAATTGTTTTTCTTGAGAATTTGGCTTATTTTAACACTCATGAAGTGTTCTTGAATCATTTACAAGGATTTTCAACTTCTGCTTGAGATGGAAAACAATCAAACACGCTTTGAAATTACAGAGGTTCGCAAAGAAGTTTTCAACAAGTGAAAAAAAAAATTTCCCTGAATTACCTGTGGCGATAAGACGGTGCAGACAATGTAACAGTGCGGACTTTACAAGGCTGATTACGGTAATGGAATCTAAACAAATTTCAAGTGTATTTTTACACCTTTTTGCCATGGCATTGTCAGTTATTTTTCTACTATGAGTTTGAATGTCACTTTGATATCTTTCGCCTCTCTTTACCACCTTAAAAATGATCTTGTTAGCCTCCTTATGTAACATTTTTATATTACATTCAAACAGAAATACCTGTCAACTCGTGAAAATCTCTATGGGGATTTTAAACAAGTGAACCTAATGCATCTCCAATTCTAATACATGCCATTAGAATTTTTAGTTTTAAAATAATCCACTATGGTTTTGAATGAGAATTTATGTGCATCAATTCAATTGTGACTCCTTTGAAAGCCTGTTTTGAAGTTTTAAGTTTATAAAATGTAAGATTTAAAGAATCAGGTCAACACCCCCTACAATCTTCAAAGTTGGCAGGTCTGGACAGAAACAAATTCAACCTTTTCCTTTAGAAATCAATCTAAACATGTAATGGGTTTGTCAATAATAACCATCTAACCAATATATTATACTAAAGTTAATATGAATGCCTTATGAAAGCAAGGCAACACAAAACAAGAATGTGTCCATCGTACATGGATGCCCCACTTGCACTATCATTTTCCATGTTCAGTGGACCGTGAAATTGGGGTAAAAACTCTAATTTGGCATTAAAATTGGAAAGATCATATCATAGGGAACATGTGTACTAAGTTTCAAATTGATTGGACTTCAACTTCATCAAAAACTACCTTGACCAAAAACTTTAACCTGAAGTGGGATAGACAGACGGACGGACGGACGGACGGACGGACGAACGAACGAACGAACGAACGAAGGGATTCACTAACAGAAAAACATTTTGCCCCTAGATGGGGCATAAAAATGGTTTCTGCCTCACAAACATTGAACACTGGTTTTTTGCAATAAATCAATGAACATTTATGAAAGGATTTTTGATTGCCATCAAATATTGCCCCAGTATGCCTACCTAAATGCTGCCAAATATTCAGCATCACCCATTGGTGGTGTTAACAACCCTCCAAATGCAATGTTGACATTGTAACCTTGACCTTTATTTTGTCCACATTCTTCAATTGATCCAGTTCCTGGGAAAAAGTTACCACTGTCATGACGATGTATAGATATGTACAGTACACTTGGGTCATCATAAAATATCTGCTGCGTTGAATTACCATGATGTACATCCTAAAATAAATAGAGAATATTATATGTGATGTTGAAAAAGCCATGTCATATACACTTTATTATAGACATGTAAAGGAAGAACAACTAATTTAGATGTTTTTCACGATATCAACATGAAATAAAACATATTAGGGATTTGATATAGTCTTTGAAACCATCACTGATACTACTGAAAGAACCTTAGTGAGCGCGCTCACATACCCCACGTCCCCACATTGTCATTGGAGAAATAAAATAAGTGTAAGAAAAAAAAATTGTATCAGAAAAAAAAATTGAATTATAATTTCCTGTCAATATGCACATCTACATAGTATGTCCTTATTATCTTCACAGTTTCATGAAATTCTGTTGTGTGGTTTGAGAGGAGTTGCGATGACAAAAGGTTGCAGTAGTATATTGGGCAAATAAGTTCAAAGGGGCGTAACTCCTGGAAAAAAGATTGAATCGTAATTTTCTGTCGATATGCACATCTACGTAGTATGTCCTTATTTTCTGAAAATGTTTCATGAAATTCTGTTGTGTGGTTTGAGAGGAGTTGCAATGACAAACTGTTGCAGTAGTACATTAAAGTAAATAAGTTCAAAGGGGCGTAACTCCTAGAAAAAGAATTGAATCGTAATTTCCTGTCGATATGCACAACTACATAGTATGTCCTTATTATCTAAAAAGGTTTCGTGAAATTCTGTTGTGTGGTTTGAGAGGAGTTGCGATGACAAGAAACAGGACTGACGGACTGACGGACAGACGGATGGACGGGTCAAAAACATTATACCCTCCGCAACTCGTTGCGTTGGGTATAATTATGTGACGTCATACAGATAAGGGGTTAGATAAAGCCTTTGCAGTCGTGACTGATATCGATATCATTGCGGATGGCTGATTCTGCATATATAAAAATAAGGAGATGTGGTATGATTGCCAATGAGACAACTATCCACCAAATTAAAAATAAAGTAGATGTAAGCAATTAAAGGCAGCCTTCAACATGAGAAAACCCATACTGTATAGTCGGCTATAAAAGGCCCCTTCATGATAAATATGAAACAATTCAATTGAGAAAACTAACAACATAATTTACAATAAAACAAATATGACAGACATGAACTAACAACCACTACTGAACTACGGGCTCCTGACTTGGGACAGGCATATAAAGAATGTGGTGGGGTTAAACATGTTTGTAGGTGCCAACCCATTGAGTGTATCACACATACAATTTACTTGCATTTATTACTAAGTATATATATGCTTATGATGATTATTTGTACAGTTTATCCAAACACTCTACTACTTATAAGAACTGTACCTCAAAAAAGACCTTTGAAGGAATGAACTGACTAATGTTATAAATGTGTCTCTCTGTTTCGTAATGCTGGAGGACAATAAATAGGACAACCAAGTCAATCTTTCCAAGAAGCAATCTTGGCCAACAGAATATGTAAGTAGTTTGGATCATTTATCATACTGGGTATTTGTTTAGATACAAGTCTGTACAAATTTCTGATATCTATATTCATACAAACTCCTCAGGCATACTGGATACATAGTTGCCAACTGACATGATATTCGGGTGTAATAACACGCTTTTTCAATGGTTTACACGCGAGGATTTTATCACATGGCGTGTACACGCTTTCCATCACTTTACACGCAATTACACGCTTTTTCGTTGTTTTGATTTTTTGGTTGTTAGTGATATCGCGATTCTCAGGTTTTTTCATTATAACACGATAAATACCGTAATTGTTTGGTTAGCCTTGGATCCTAGCTAACTGCTTGACCTATCGACGAAGTATTAGATTGGGTCAGGATTCCAGGCTATTGTTTGGTGGCCATTGTTTGTTTTTCTATATGGACGAACAGCAAAAGCTCTTAAGGTAAGTTTGTGATTAGTTTTTACGATTTTGGGACTTTCTTTCTTTCAAATTCACTTTAGGGGAAATGTCCACAGTAAGAGGTATCTTTCAAGACCTGTACCGTCGTCTAAAGAGCCGATTTCTAAGCAAAAACGATGTGTACATGTACGTACCAAGATTCAAGGGGTAACACGAATGACCAAATAACATCGATTCAAGATTTATAAATTATATTTGGGAGTTCGAGTTTAAATCATCGAGGGATGAATAACGCATTGTGCACTCTATGTTGCAATCATAACAATACATATGAGAGGAGAACTAAAATACATAGCTATTTGATTAAGCATTTAACAATTATAAAATACTTTTCTTTTTCAGTTTCAAATGTAGCCAACAGATTTCCACAGGCCATTGGGGATGGAAATATCACGGAACTGTTGGATCAGTTCTCATAGTATTTAAGCTGTCTTCTGATGAACTACCCAGTTTTGACCAGGCAATAGCAACATATATTGTATAGTTTGTTGGGAGCAATGGCAGAGATCATAGATGACATTTTAGATGGCAAAAAAACATTATGACACTCTTTCAAAGCTTCATGAATCTATTTTAGTTCAGCCAAATATCAATTCTGACTGTGAGAGATCATTTTCAATTATAAAGAAATTTACACTGAATTCTGATCAGAACTCGACAATGATATATTGTGTGCCTTGTTATCAAGTAAATGTAACAAAACCAGCAGGTGTTTTGACTATGTGCCTAGTGGTGTTCATAGGCGGATCCAGAAATTTTCATAAGTGGGGGCCCACTGACTGCCTAAGAGGGGGCCCGCTCCAGTCATGCTTCAGTGATTCCCTATATAATCAACCAAATTTTTCCCAAAAAAGGGGGGGCCCGGGCCCCCTGGGCCCCCCCTAAATCCGCCTCTGGTGTTGCTTTAAATTAAAAGCAGCAAAACAGACCACTGTTGAATACAATAAAAGTTTACAGTTGAATATTGTTTTTTATATTAACAAATTTGCATATAATGTGAAATTATGAACATTGTTCATATTAAAAAGTCTGCATCTACGTCACGCGTTTTCACACGCTTTTTGACATGTCATGTCATGTCATGACATGATTTCTCATTGTCAGAGGTTGGCAAGTATGACTGGATATGATAAAGAGAATAACTTATGGGCAGACCTAGCTATAATAAATCAGCATTAACCATTCAACAGATTAATTTACACTTACCCAATCAACAATCAATATCTTCTCTAACTTCATCTTTTCTTTCAATTGTTTAGCCGCAATGGCAACTGAGTTGAAATAACAGAATCCCCTGCAAGATAAACAATACTATTTCACTCAAATGCAGCATCCTCCAACAATCCCATATAGTTTTAAATAATTTCTACTACACTATAAAGTGTTACTGACCTTTGACTTTGAATGTTTAAGGTTAATCTTCTTATTAGAGTGGATCATTTACATCAAGTTTGGAGACTATAGAATTTAAATAACAAGCTTGTAACTTCATATTTAACAGCACTCATCTTCTTAAGTAAGTACTTTAAAATGAAGTTTTTATAAAGGGATTTAAATTGTATTAGTGGAAATAATGTATCTCAAATATGACATTTATATTGAAGAAATGTCTTATGGTTTTTTGTGTTGTGTTGCTCTCTCATGGATGTATACCCCATTTATCTTTTATTTGTACAATACTAACCAGTGTTTCTCAAAGATTAAAAAAAAAACCAGCATTATATTTTTGAAGTTGAAAGGGCATCTGAAATATGTAAATGTTATAAAAGAGACATTCTGACTATAATAACAGAACATGTAAAAGGCTTGTATGTACTTACATTGGTTGGTGTGATTCTGCATGATGACCAGGTGGCCTCACAACAGCAAAACCATTCTACAATAATAACATCAGATGATAACATAGTGAGAAATGTACACTCATTATTGATAATGTATACTGTAATCAACTTGTTACTTTTTAAATCATTCTTCTTATTGCATTACTGAAAACACTGCAAAAAAAACCCAAAAAAACAATTAATCTCACTATAAAATAATATTCAAAGGGTAGCAACTTTTTTCTTTTCAATCATAATGAATCGTAACAAAAACATTAGAAACTAAATGGGATGACTACCATTTACAGCAACTATTAATCTATCATTTAGGTTGTCAAATTTTAGCAACATGTGCTGTATCAATCCATTGAACAACTTACCTTCAGTTCACGTGATGCCACTTTTAATGACAAGTCTACAACACAGCCTACTGCCTGAAAAATCAACAAAACTTAAATATATCATATTGTTTAATATTCAAAGAAAGTCCTGTGTTAAAATCTGTCAGAAAAAAATGTCAATCTTATAATCAATGGAAAGAATGCACAAAACTAATAAGCCATCTTTTTGGTAAAATTTGCTCATTGTATATCCAGCCAACAGCTTCAAGCCAAATTGTTGGTTAAATCTGCTCATTTCATGTCTAGTCTAAGCTTCAATCCAAATTGTTGGTTAAATCTGCTTATTTCATGTCCAGTCTAAGCTTCAATCAAAATTGTTGGTTAATACTGCTTATGTCATGTCCAGCCTAAGCTTCAATCCATACTCAATACTGCTTTAATCTGATACACTGAACATCAAACCAACAGCTTTCATCCACATTGTTGGTTAAATTTGTTCATTGCATGTGAAGACAACAGCTTCAATCCAAACTGTTCATTGCATGTCAATCTTTAACTTTCAATCCACTTATTGGCTGTCCAGCCAACAGCTAAATTTTACATTGCTGGTTAAATCCACTCATTGGATGTCCAGCCAACAGCTTAATTTTAAACTGCTGGTTAAATCCACTCATTGGATGTCCAGGCAACAGCTTAATTTTAAACTGCTGGTTAAATCCACTCATTGGATGTCCAGCCAATAGCTTAATTCTAAACTGCTGGTTTAATCCACTCATTGGATGTCCTCCCAACAGCTTAATTTTAAACTGCTGGTTAAATCCACTCATTGGATGTCCAGCCAACAGCTTAATTCTAAACTGCTGGTTTAATCCACTCATTGGATGTCCTCCCAACAGCTTAATTTTAACTGCTGGTTAAATCCAATCATTGGATGTCCAGCCAACAGCTTAATTCTAAACTTCTGGTTAAATCCACTCATTGGATGTCCAGCCAACAGCTGAATTTTAAACTGCTGGTTAAATCCACTCATTGGATGTCCAGCCAACAGCTTAATTTTAAACCGCTGGTTAAATCCACTCATTGGATGTCCAGCCAACAGCTTAATTTTAAACTGCTGGTTAAATCCACTCATTGGATGTCCAGCCATTAAATTTATTTTACATTGTTGGTTACATGCCAATCCAACAATTTGATTTTTCATTGTTGGTTACATGCCAATCCAACAGCTTGATTTTACATTGTTGGTTAAATTTGGTCATTGCATGTCCAGCCAACAGTTTCATTTAACACTATTGGTTAAATCTGCTTATTAAATGTCTACCCTACAGCTTGAATTCATTACTTTTTTTGTGATGTACGTTTATCATATTTTCCATTACAAATATATCAGTACCAACACTTATTCCCCATTTAAATCATGGTTAAACAAGTTATTACAAGATGCAGCAATGAAAACAATTTTTTTTCATCTAAATTATGTCATAAGTAAGGTTTACAAGTGATGATTAAAATTTTCATCCTGTAGTATTGTATCTGTATGTAAAATGTGTTCAACAAAACCCATTAACAGCATTCAAATTGTGTTCTTATTTTACAGGAAACAATATGATATCTGATAACCTGTCCTTTGTACAAATCAATTAGAATACAGATGTACTTAACAGGTGTTAACCATAGATCAATAATGTTTGTTAGGAAATCAGTAAACAAGCTCAACATAAGTTTTTGATTTTTCCTATACCCATTACGTCAATTTCAGCTGATGTCATCCATATTTGGCAATGTAAACATCACTTAATAAATCAACACAGATAATTATCACCATTAACGTATAATGTATTCTTTATGGGGTGGAAGGATTTAAGGATGTGGCAATTCATATTTCTATACATGTTAAGTCAGAGGTAATACTAGAAAGCAGGTGCTAATTAAAGAAGTAGGTAAAAAGTCTGAGGTGGTCCTTGTAAAGCTGGTCCATTTCAAAGCCCTGCTGGTGAGGCTACTAGGGACCCTCCTAAAGCTATGAGGATCTAGTATTTGTACGGATCAATTTTGGGTCTTTTATCTTTTCTGTCTCTCAAGGTTTTTTTTTTTTTACTTTTTAGAACATACCTGTTACTATTGTACACACCAAAAACAATCATCTTTTTTTAAATACTTTGTATCTTTGCAGTTGACAAAAGGGGCATTATTGGGACAATAATTGTAGTACTAAAATGTTCAGAATAATCCTGCACAATTGACTGATTGTCAGACAAGGTGACTGACACTGTATATATACAATTTATGAAAGGTTCAAATATGCACATGATATGGTAAGTGTTGCATAAATTAAGGCAAAAACAAATTAATTGATTTTGCATAAAAGCAACTACATGAACGAAGGTTAACGTTTTTTTCCTTTTCAGTTTCTTACATACTCATTGAAATGTAACAGTTTTTATCATGTTAAATTGATATTTGATTTTCTATAATATATTGATATTCAATAAGTACCTGAACAGCTTTTTAACAGCTTTCAAACTGGGATTAAACTAGTGCATAGACCTTTTTTGCACTTTGTATCAAGAAAATAAATTAACAAGTGAGCATTGTTTTATTGTGTTGTTGGGTTGCTTTCATTGATTTTCACACATCACCTTTTATTCATACTTAATGATACTTAATTACAACAAATTTTGCTCATTCTGACTACTGTAATTTATTCCAAAATGTTAGTTTGTGAATGGCTTGTATCTATACAGGTATGATAAAGGTTAAAACCAAAGCAAATGTGAGGACATCTGGATGTTATTTTTGTTGTAGATTTCTATTTTACAGACGTTTACACCGTCCCCTTGTATCTTATTCATATGGTTAAAATCATCGTTACATAATTAATTCTTTTTTTATAATCTGATATTACTTTTCTGAAGTATTAATTGAAATTACATAAACAAGCAATTTTCTGTTTACCTCAATTTATCTGTTTCCAAGGTTACATACATTATTTATGTCCTACTGTTTTAGTGTTATGAACAGGTGTTACTTGAATGATTAAACTTACATTTTTTATGTTTCCACTGAAGTGTTTATAAAAGTATTGATCTACAGACAGTATTGAGGTCACTATTTCATTTACGTGGAGAAATAAACCAGAAAATAGAGGCCCAAATGAGACTATTTCTCTCACCCGGCCATTAAGAACTACATGTATATACAATTTCTAATTGACTCAATAAGCTAAAAAGATCCAAGAAAGGGATAGATTACCCAAACATTACCTCTTTATCTTTATAGTCATGCTACAAACACCTATTTTACATTCAGTCATTTTAAAGAAATATTCCTCTAGGATGGAGTGTAGTTTTCCTTACAGAAATCTATTAAATCTATAGTATAGTTTTTTCAATAACTTGCAAACATATACTTTAGATTAAAAACGCATTTGCACTTTTTGTTTTAAAATTTACTACAATGAAATTTTAAAATGTTGAAGCAAAACAAAATACAAGAAGGACATTGGAGGATGTGAAAACACATTCAAATAAAGTTAAGCTCAAAACTCCAAATTTTAAATATTAAAGTTTAATAACACTGGAATGACACCTCTGGAAAATGAAAAGATAGACTTTCCGCAGGCAAACATGGTGTATAAATGTAAAAACAGTCTGCTAAAGCAATCATAGTTATTACAATAAAAGCTTGGTCAGACAGACAAATATACCCAGATGTACCAGGACATGTATGAAGTTAACAAGTTTATAAAGACAGAACATAATCTTGAGCTCAGATTAAAGCAAGTAGGAATTCATTCCAGTATTTGAAATTCAATAAAAGAACAGAATTTTTTTTTCTCATAAATATGGGGGGGGGGGGGGGGGGGGAATAAATAAGTCATTATGACAAAGAAACTCTTGAAACCAACCTTAAAATATCTGGTCACTTTAAAAAAAAAAATGCATCTGTGATGCTAAGTACAATACTCCTGCTGTGACATTATTTTAGTTGATAAATAAAGATACGAAGACAAATGTCATGCCCCTAACGTTCTCCTTGTAATATTCTGTTTAAAGTCAAACATATTAAAGAAATTATTCTTGTAAGATGACGTTATTTCTTAGCATTGTACGTAAATACTATATTTTTTTATTGACCTTTTACTTTTAAATGTCATTCCTTGATATTTTTATCAAAACTAGTTTAGTACATCAAAGTTCGAGACTCCTAGGAGAATATTAAATGTTCAATAAAGTTTTATATAATGATTAAAACTAACAGAAACCTCCATTTTATGATCCACAAACAGTATAACTTTGTAACCTTTGTGATTTTCACATAGTTATAAAAATTCATATACAACCTCCCTGCTTTTCCTCAACAAACCTGCTTGATTATTTAGGGAAAGAAAATGAGTGACAACCTTTTTCAGTCAATATTTAGCATTATTACTATTATTATACTTATTGTAATTAAGCAATGGTTTGTAAATATCATCATAAATAATTGTAGTTCAATAACAAACTGCATTCAGCTTGATAGATCTCATTTTGTAAATACAAGTTGTTTTAAAAATGTATAGAAATAAAGTCATTTTTAATGTGAAATCTATTAAAGATCAATTTCTCTATTAATTTCTGTATTAAATTCCTATCTTTAATAGTAGGTCAAGCCTACGTAAGCCCTCTCCACAAACCCTTATCTTTAATTTCTCTCTTCACTGGTTTTATCTTACCGTTCTGGCAGCTATGTATGTATGCATTTCATTCCACACTGTATCAGAATCCACACCAATTCCTCCACAAGGTAACAAAAAGAAACGCATGTTTTCTGAAACAGAAATAGCATAATAGAAAGTCTGAAGTATACCACAGCGTTCCCAAATATAAAAGTAAACAGGCACACACATGTCAATCTATTAGTAATAAATGGCAATCCTAGGACAAACAGTCTTGTGTAGCAAACAAAGTTGCATAATATATAGATGAAAAAATAATAAAAACATACATATTTCAGTCATTCTATATTAGTTGTGATATAATGCAGTTTAACAATCAGGATTGAAATGCCATTAAAAATAGTGGTTCCTGCTTGATGCCCTACAGTTTATAGTTGTAATATCATGATAAGCAAAATGTTGTCTTGCTTAGAAAAAAATTTTAATTACAACTTTCTAAATAAGGAGCCATCTAACCACAAGACCTGCCTCCACCAATGAATTATAACATCTAGCATGTTAAAATGGAGATAAATTATTTATATCTTGTAATTGATAAGTTACAACCTAAACCATACAATAAAGTACTTTTCATAGCATTCAAATACTATCTTACCAAATAAGCTTGGATCTAGACGCTGCCGGTTAAGGGGATTTGTCCCATATAATAATGTATGGGCTTCTGAATGGCAACTTTGTAATTCTTCCATGCTGGCTTTTCTACTTTTTATTCTCTGAAATTTCAAGAAAAATGTACATAGTTATATTTCAATTGAATATTTTTGTAGGAAATAGAATGCATTTCTGTCAAAATTGGTTCAACTTGACTCTGATGTATACTTCCATATGAAAATGAAAAAAAGTGAATCGAAGGATGACATCTATTCTCTGCAAAAAATAAAGAATGGTTAAAAACCTCAAATTCTAAACTAGCTGTAAATAATCCTAACCTCCATGTCACATAAATAACTATAAAATAAAATAGATGTTTTGGAGTGACATATAAAAAGAAGATGTGGTATGATTGCCAGTGAGACAACTCTCCACAATAGACCAAATGACACAGAAATTAACAACTAATGGTCACCGTACGGCCTTCAACAATAAGCAAAGCCCATACTGCATAATTAGTTATAGAAGGCCCTGAGTCTTGCTGCCAAATTCAAAGGGTAAAACATGAATTTAATATGTTACTCGTCATAACACCCTATTATAGGCTATCAGTATTGCAGGTGCAACAGGTACTACAAATGAAAATCTGCTGTACACAATTGCAAAATCTGTTGTATTGCAATGGCAATCATAATAGTAGAAATCTGCAGTATAGGATTGCAAAAACAATTGTTTTGAATGGCAATAGGGAACACAGATACCATTGTAACTGCCGTCATGATAGCTGATAATAAGGTGTGCATAATATCCCAATTAACTAAATATTAGCATAATATCTACAGGCACAACAAAACAAAAAGTCCTGACAACTGTTGGATTTTTATTCCGAGTAGCAGGATCATAATAAATCCAAAGATTGGGCTTGATATACACTCTTTATATCATGTAAATCTAAAACACTGATATCCCTTATTTTTGCTTAATGATGCCATGCAAACAAAGAATAAAATGCTCCACTGGGGACAGCTTGATACGACTGCAGAGGTCGAACCCTGAACAGTTAGGTTAAGTATGGACACAACATTCAAGCTTGAAACAGCTCTGAATTTGGATTGTGATTAAATATTTGACACATCATAGGTTTCTGACATAGATCGAATGTGGTCTAAGAACTTAAAATTTTGAAATTGGACATATCAAGGAACCCCAAGAATTCAATTTTTGATGAAATCAAACTAAAAAGTTTAATTCTGGACCCTTTGGACCTCTATAAGAACTAATTTGATAACAGGGCCCAAAATCCAAAATCCAAATACATGTTTATATTCAGCATATCAAAGAACCCCATATTTTCAATTTTTGTTGAAATCAAACATAGCTTAATTTTGAACCCTGATTTGGACCAACTTGAAAACTGGGACCAAAATTATAAAGCTAAAGACACAGTTAGATTCAGCATATCAAAGAACCCTAAGAATTCAATTTTTGTTGAAATCAAACAAACTTTAATTTTGGACTGTTAGTACCTTAATGTAGACTAATTTGAAAACAGGCCTAAAATTAAAATTCTAAATATACAGTTCCATTCGGCATATCGAAAGAACCCCAATTGTTCAATTTTTGATGAAATCAAACCAAAGTTTAATTTTGGCCTTGGACCTCAATGTGGATCAATTAAAAAAAACAGGACCCAAAATCAAAAATCTACATACATGGTTAGATTCAGCATATTAAAGAACCCGAAGATTTCAAGACTTTGAATTAAACCCCATTGAAATTGGTCAAGAAATAAGCAATTTATACAAAGTATTACAAAAGTATTGTTTTCGGCCCCTTTTTCCTAAAAGGTTAAGGCCATAACCCTCAAAATCATTCCCAACCTTCCTTTTATGGTATGGAACCTTGAGGTACAATTTCATAGAGATCCACAGACTTATACTCAAGTCATTGTCTAAAAACCAGAAAATCCCTGGTTTTTGGGCCCAATTCCTAAACGGTTTGGGCCATAACCCCCAAGATCAATCCCAACCTTCCTTTTGAGGTATGAAACCTTGTGGTATAATTTCATAGAGATCTGCAGGTATACACTTATACACATGTTATTGTCCTGAAACAAGAAAAATGCTTGTTTTATTGCCTTTTTTTTGGCCCTAATCCTAAAAAGTTAGGACAATAACCTCCGAAATCAATCCCAACCTTCCTTTTGTGGTATGGAACCTTGTGGTACAATTTCATAGATATCCATACATTTATACTCAAGTTATTGTCTAGAAACCAAATGTCTTCGGACGATGACAACATTGCCATACCATTAGATAACCAAAAATTTTGCGGTTTAAAAAAAACTATAAAAATGTAAAATGTTTGTGACAGTAATCTTACAAGACAAGTCAAATGTAGATTTAACATTTACTTGCATGAGAAGTGATCCCTAAAGCCTGTTCGTATTTCATTTTTCATAATGACAGTTTAATCATACATCAATGTTAACACAAACACCAAATATATATATAAAGTCTACACCATATTGAAACAGCAACCTTTTTGTTCTAAGAACTGTGTATCTTCTTTTCATCAACATTAATGGTGTATGCAGATGCTGTTCCTGACCATTTAATACACATAGATAAACAAATGTTACTGTGTTCTACTTTGTCACACAGATCTAAATCAGTGTCATCTAACCATTGCCATTGCTCCTATCTATCTACAGATCATCAGCTGTTCATATCATCTTTGAACCAAGAAAGCAAGCTGATCATTTTATTGAATTGTGATGTCATGAATATTAGCAGGCATGTTAATAAAAAAAAATCTCAAATGTGCATTTGAATGGCTAAAAATATACAAGCATTCTGAGAGTATTGCATGGCAATACATAGTCCCCTACCGGGTAAAAATTCATTATACTGGAACAAAAAGCTAACTTGTTCTATAACTTGTCATGGTGTAAAAAAAAAGTCAATATCTTCAAGCATGACTAAAAACAGTGTGGAAAACTGATTAAATGAGTGAATTTTTCAAGTCCAAGGACCATAACTCTGCACAAAATTATCAGACCGAAACAAAATTTCAAACGACAGGAACTCCAACGAAAAATTAGCACATTCCCATGCCACTGATTTCTTTAAGAAAATAAAAGGTTCCGACTCAGTTTGTCGAGTACGTGATAACTCCTTTGTGGGGTATCTGCGATGCCGCCTTCGCCTGTTCTGTTAACTGAAGCTGGTCTTATCACGTGATTTGGTATCGAATGTCTTATCTACCTACCAATGTAAATGAACACGGAAACTCCCGTGGTTTTTTGTGAATCGCCACATGAATGACGACACCTGTTTCCGTGCAATAAATGAAGGCAAAAGTTGAAAAGATCTAAAAAATCAGTCCATATTTAACAAAATGACAAAAGTAAATTAACTGCATTCGAAAAGAGGGCAAGCTTATTTTTAGTTTTGTTTAAATTGTTTTAATCATTGGAACTTGGAAATCGGAAAATATCCGATATTAAAAATTACATGTACCTAAAGTTGGGTGTTTGCGGAAAACACTGTGATGCACGTGTAGTGTGTAAGATGGCGAAGGATAGCTCAAATTTAAGTTAAAGGTTGTAAATTTTTATCGAATGTTACAAGAACATTTATGGTTTTCTTTATCGTCACAATGTAAAAAAATGTTATTAACGTATTTATCAAATATGTTTAAAAGACTAAAAGAGGTTAATAATTACACGCACGTGATGACCTCTACATAGCATGTATCAGGTTACGAGACAGATGAATTGTTACACTTTTTATAATAATTCCAAAGTTATAAACAACTTTAAACATTCAACCTAGTCCGAGATTGCTCTGACGTCTGACAGATTTTTTTTTACGAATGGCTTAACTTTAAATATTTCTGGGTGCATTTAAAGAAGGATCACCATGATGGGCCCTAAGCAGTATAATATTTTTTTATTCTTAAAATTTTATCATGGGAACCAAATTTGAATTTATTAATGTGTGTAAATGCTTAACAGTTCTGAAACACCTTACACCGTATGTTAAGCAATTTATGTTTTTGTTTCTTGTTGAATTGAATGAAATATTTGCCATTGTACTTTCAGTAAACAATTAATCAAAATATTTGATATTTTTTCCGATTAAAGCCTTTTAACCTCCCCGGCCCCCGCCACTACGGGGAACCAACTTTTGAATTAAATTTTTGTTGGAAATTCTTTCAGTAAACACTTAATTTAATTAAAATATTTGTCAAAGTTAAATTAGCAGTAAAGCGCGACAATAATTGCTGGTAAAAACTTTTCCGTTTACTTTTTATAAGAATTTTATGATTTTCAAGCCTAGCATGTATATAACAGTTATGCATGTTTAGCCAACAGCCCTCTCATGAATAAAAATCTTACTATTTAAATTGATTGTAACTTAAACTGAAATGTTTATGGCTTGTGAGTATTTTTACTCTTCAGTTTTTTGTTGTTTTTTTTAGGTGAAAACAGTCGCGGGGATTTCGTTTTTTACTTTATATTTGTTTTTACGCAGCAAAACCCGTCAAAACTGACATATTTGTCATTTAGTGACATGGTCGGTAAATGTCATTTCCTTGACAATTAAGTACACATCCGGTTATTTCGGTATGTTCCGTAATTACGATCAATCACAAGGTTACAAAAATTTGAACGGAACCCATGCATCCATATGACATGTCGAGTTATAATTAACAGATACTTAACGATTTTGCGACATCGCACTATAAACGTTTGAAGTCCGCTTGTTGGAGTTCCTGTCAATATAATACTTCCATGTACTTCCATGATCTGTATAACTTGTCATGATAAAACTATATACCAATTATCAATCAATATCTTCAAGCATGATGAAAAAAAGTGTGGAAAACACTTTAACATTAGATATGATTAATAGTTCTCTAAAATTAGATATGATGTAATGCAGTGTATATCTATTTTCAAATTATAATCAAATATAATTAATAGTTCCAAATATTTTTTTCTTTTTTTTGTCACAAACTAATATAGATTTGTAATCTATTTATAAAATGTCAACAATTTTTATCTACACAATGTAATGTAATATATACATTAATAAAAATAGATTATTATCTTATTAAAGGATTTCACTTCATAATTTTTTTTATATATATATAGCATTCAGAAAATTAGTTTATACAAATTAACAAACAAACCTGCCAAAAAATTCTTCAAATAATTTACCAAAGAATGTCTTTTAAAAAATGAGTTATCTCCCTTTGTACAGAAATATGGTTTAACGTAGTACTCTTAACATTAGATATGGTCCAGATTTATGGTCCATAACTCTGGACTAAATCATCAGACCAGAACAAAATACCAACTTGATCTATAACTTGTCATGGCAAAACTATATACCAAATATCAAATCAATATCTTCAAGAACGAAGTCTTAAAGTGTGGAAAACTGCTTTGCCAGACTGACGGATGGACAGACAGACGGACGGACGGACGGACAGACGGACAGACAGACGAACAGAGGGCAAACCTAAAGTCCCTTTCGACTTCGTCGGTAGGGGACTAATAACAGCAATGTCACAATATTAAAAACGAAAACTAAATTCAGCATGATCTCCATAACAAAGTAATCGATTTCAATGTTTTTGAAGAGAGTTTGTGCCAATCCATTAAAACACAAAAACATCGATATGAATAAGAAAAAAATATATTTCAGATTCCTTAACAACCCTGCTGTTTGAAAAATCATGTCATATGGGGCAAAATTTTCAGTTGTCATATAGCCCTAAATATTATGTATTCTTAATTAAATATGTAAGAGTCAAATCTATGTCCAGCCCAAATCTATGTCCTTTCCTCCTATCTGTCTCCTATCCGATATAGCGTCATAAATGTCACAAATCTATTTCCTTTTTTAACACGTCATGCCCTGTCCTAGGACTTCAGAATTATCGATACACCAACTGTAACAGATTGAAATCTCTGAGATTGTTACTTTGTGTCTTATGTCTTTTTGTTAATTTCAGCCTCGATAGACTCATGGCAGTCTCTAGCTGGCAATGTACTCTCCTGGAGTGTGGAAGGTTATAGTAAGTTCTATTCCCAACTGGGTCAAACCAGACTTCAAAATCTATATACCCCGGTATGCTGTTTCTGCGCTAAGCATGTGGCATTTAGAGGTAAAAGCAAGACTGTTTGGTTTGGAGTAAAAATAATCTGTCAGATAGGGGGACATGTTTTCCTATGACTGTTACCTTGTTTACTAGTAAAAATCAAGATTGAGTGTTTGGGACTAGTACAAAGCAGGGTTCATATTCATATCACATGAACATCATTCTTGTCCTGAATAAGCCCTTGACTTACCACTGTAAGTAAAACAGACATTCATCATCATCATTTTTTCTTATGCTGTGTTGCTACACCATAGTCACAGGTAAGGGAGATTGAATGCTAGCAATCAAGTTTCACCCCACCACGTTTTATATGTGATTGTCCTGAGTCACACCACATTACTGAAAGTTTTCTATATAAAACAAGGAAATGAATGAACAAAGAGTCACATATTTGAGTGTCATGATGTCAAGAGACACAAATCTGAGAAAGGAACACAGATTTGAGGCTTGACAAAGGGACACAGATCTGAAGAAAGGACATAGATTTGAGACTGAAAATGGATTTACAAATATTATGCCTAAATAACATGAGTTTAATAACTATTCGTCAATCAATACTAACCTCACATCTAGATGTCAGTCCAGTTTCATGTAATCTAGACCATATACTGTGTAGACGGCCTTCATTCTCTGGATGATTTGAATTGTTATTACATGTGCATTGATGCTTCTGCATGATTGAATCATATGCTAAACCTAAAATAGATAAGGCGTAATCAACATCCAAATGCCTATTTCATTCATGTTACAATCTATTTTTTCTTCTTTTTCAAAATTACGAACAACAACTGTCCACTATGTTTGTGGTTTGGTTGTGGCAATGTAAATCAATAATTTACCAGAAGTATATCTATATCTAGTTGTGGTTTGAAGGGGGTAATGTAAATTACCTGTAGTATATCTATATCTAGTTGTGGTTTGAAGGGAGTAATGTAAATTACCTGTAGTATATCTATATCTAGTTGTGGTTTGAAGGGGGTAATGTAAATTACCTGTAGTATATCTATATCTAGTTGTGGTTTGAAGGGGGTAATGTAAATTACCTGTAGTATGTCTATATCTAATTGTGGTTTAAAGGGGGTAATGTAAATGACTTGTAGTATATCTATATCTAGTTGTGGTTTGAAGGGGGCAATGTAAATTACCTGTAGTATATCTATATCTAGTTGTGGTTTGAAGAGGGTAATGTAAATTATCTGTAGTATATCTATATCTAGTTGTGGTTTGAAGGGGGTAATGTAAATTACCTGTAGTATATCTATATCTAGTTGTGGATTGAAGGGGGTAATGTAAATTACCTGTAGTATATCTATATCTAGTTGTGGATGAAGGGGGTAATGTAAATTACCTGTAGTATATCTATATCTAATTGTGGTTTGAAGGGGGTAATGTAAATTACCTGTAGTATGTCTAGTTGTGGCTTGAAGGGGTCAATGTAAATTACCTGTAGTATATCTATATATAGTTGTGGTTTGAAGGGAGTAATGTAAATGACCTGTAGTATATCTATATATAGTTGTGGTTTGAAGGGGGTAATGTAAATTACCTGTAGTATGTCTAGTTGTGGTTTGAAGGGGTCAATGTAAATTACCTGTAGTATATCTATATATAGTTGTGGTTTGAAGGGGGTAATGAAAATGACCTGTAGTATATCTATATATAGTTGTGGTTTGAAGGGGGTAATGTAAATGACCTGTAGTATGTCTAGTTGTGGATTGAAGGGGGTAATGTAAATTACCTGTAGTATGTCTATATCTAATTATGGTTTGAAGGGGGTAATGTAAATTACCTGTAGTATATCTATATCTACTTGTGGTTTGAAGGGGGCAATGTAAATTACCTGTAGTATGTCTATATCTAGTTGTGGTTTGAAGGGGGTAATGTAAATGACTTGTAGTATATCTATATCTAATTGTGGTTTGAAGGGGGCAATGTAAATTACCTGAAGTATATCTATATCTAATTGTGGTTTGAAGGGAGTAATGTAAATTACCTATAGTATATCTATATCTAGTTGTGGTTTGAAGGGGGCAATGTAAATTACCTGAAGTATATCTATATCTAATTGTGGTTTGAAGGGAGTAATGTAAATTACCTGTGGTATATCTATATCTAATTGTGGTTTGAAGGGGGTAATGTAAATGACTTGTAGTATATCTATATCTAGTTGTGGATTGAAGGGGGCAATGTAAATTACCTGTAGTATATCTATATCTAATGTGTGGTTTGAAGGGAGTAATGTAAATTACCTGTAGTATATCTATATCTAATTGTGGTTTGAAGGGAGTAATGTAAATTACCTGTAGTATATCTATATCTAATTGTGGTTTGAAGGGGGTAATGTAAATGACTTGTAGTATATCTATATCTAGTTGTGGATTGAAGGGGGCAATGTAAATTACCTGTAGTATATCTATATCTAGTTGTGGTTTGAAGGGGGCAATGTAAATTACCTGTAGTATGTCTATATCTAATTGTTGTTTGAAGGGGGTAATGTAAATTACCTGTAGTATGTCTATATCTAATTGTGGTTTGAAGGGGGTAATGTAAATTACCTGTAGTATGTCTATATCTAATTGTGGTTTGAATGGGGCAATGTAAATTACCTGTAGTATATCTATATATAGTTGTGGTTTGAAGGGGGTAATGTAAATTACCTGTAGTATGTCTAGTTGTGGTTTGAATGGGTCAATGTAAATTACCTGTAGTATATCTATATCTAGTTGTGGTTTGAAGGGGGTAATGTAAATTACCTGTAGTATATCTATATCTAGTTGTGGTTTGAAGGGGGTAATGTAAATTACCTGTAGTATGTCTAGTTGTGGTTTGAAGGGGGCAATGTAAATTACCTGTAGTATATCTATATCTAGTTGTGGTTTGAAGGGGGTAATGTAAATTACCTGTAGTATATCTATATCTAGTTGTGGTTTGAAGGGGGTAATGTAAATTACCTGTAGTATGTCTAGTTGTGGTTTGAAGGGGTCAATGTAAATTACCTGTAGTATATCTATATCTAGTTGTGGTTTGAAGGGAGTAATGTAAATTACCTGTAGTATATCTATATCTAATTGTGGTTTGAAGGGGGTAATGTAAATGACCTGTAGTATATCTATATCTAATTGTGGTTTGAAGGGGGTAATGTAAATTACCTGTAGTATATCTATATCTAATTGTGGTTTGAAGGGGGTAATGTAAATGAACTGTAGTATATCTATATCTAGTTGTGGTTTGAAGGGGTCAATGTAAATTACCTGTAGTATATCTATATCTAGTTGTGGTTTGAAGGGGGCAATGTAAATTACCTGTAGTATATCTATATCTAGTTGTGGTTTGAAGGGGGTAATGTAAATGACCTGTAGTATATCTATATCTAGTTGTGGTTTGAAGGGGGCAATGTAAATTACCTGTAGTATATCTATATCTAATTGTGGTTTGAAGGGGGTAATGTAAATTACCTGTAGTATATCTATATATAGTTGTGGTTTGAAGGGGGTAATGTAAATTACCTGTAGTATGTCTAGTTGTTGATTGAAGGGGGCAATGTAAATTACCTGTAGTATATCTATATCTAGTTGTGGTTTGAAGGGGGTAATGTAAATTACCTGTAGTATGTCTAGTTGTGGTTTGAAGGGGTCAATGTAAATTACCTGTAGTATATCTATATCTAGTTGTGGTTTGAAGGGGGTAATGTAAATTACCTGTAGTATGTCTATATCTAGTTGTGGTTTGAAGGGGGTAATGTAAATTACCTGTAGTATGTCCATATCTAGTTGTGGATTGAAGGGGGCAATGTAAATTACCTGTAGTATATCTATATCTAATTGTGGTTTGAAGGGGGTAATGTAAATTACCTGTAGTATGTCTAGTTGTGGTTTGAAGGGGTCAATGTAAATTACCTGTAGTATATCTGTATCTAGTTGTGGTTTGAAGGGGTCAATGTAAATTACCTGTAGTATATCTATATCTAGTTGTGGTTTGAAGGGAGTAATGTAAATTACCTGTAGTATATCTATATCTAATTGTGGTTTGAAGGGGGCAATGTAAATTACCTGTAGTATATCTATATCTAATTGTGGTTTGAAGGGGGTAATGTAAATTACCTGTAGTATATCTATATCTAATTGTGGTTTGAAGGGGGTAATGTAAATTACCTGTAGTATGTCTATATCTAGTTGTGGTTTGAAGGGGGCAATGTAAATTACCTGTAGTATGTCTATATCTAATTGTGGTTTGAAGGGGGCAATGTAAATGACCTGTAGTATATCTATATCTAATTGTGGTTTGAAGGGGGTAATGTTAATTGAAAAATTACCTGTAGTATATCTATATCTAATTGTGGTTGGGTCAGATTCCTGTGTCTGTTGTGGTAGATTAGAGAAAGTAACTAGAGGACTGGACTGTGTCCTAGCTAATGGTCGATGGTGATGATGACGACGGTGTTTGATAGCCTCCCTTGGATGGTTTGGGAATGTTTGCTGTGGTTTTAACGTCTCACTTGACGATTCTTCCATGTGACTTTCCTTTACTACAATTACATCATCTGCATCTTGCTCTCTGGATTCTCTCATTTCCTGATAAAAATTTAAAACAAGCATTTGTATTACTATCTCTTTGGTAATGATGAAAGAGAATGTTTACTGCAAATTAAAAATTATTGTGTGCATTTACTATTGCAATTGTTGAAGAATGGACAAAAATGCGAAATCAATTATTGCGATTTCAGAAAAAGTTGGATCAGAATGTGTATTCTTATTATTGCGATACTCACCCAGTTGCATTGTTCAGATTACTAAAAACCTTGAAATAATTTCTGAATTTACAGCATTCAAGAATGGTGTGTGAATCTCTTTTAAATTCAGATTAGCATTAATTATTGATATAATTTTATCTTTAAAAATAAAATCAACTTCTAACTTAAAACATTTTAGCAAAGTTTTGGTTTATTTCTAGGATGTAAATGTTCTATCATATTCCAATTTCCTTAACTAATTAACATTCAAAATGATCTATTTGTTATAGATATTGATTCATCTTCTTGGTTACATTATGCTTGAAATCAGTGACTGCAGAACCTTTTGGTTACCAGTGATTGTCTGCCACCCATATTGGATTTACAATGCCACTATTTGTTGTTACAAAAGACATGACTTGTTATAAAATACCTGTTGTAACTTAGCTTCTGTTTCTTCGTCAACATTCTCCATTCCAGCACGATGTAAGACAGCTTGTCGTATTTGTTGTTTAACTTGTTGTGAGTGCTGTTGTTGAAGCAGCAAGTTTTGTTGTTGTAAAAATGGGTGTCCCAATGGCAGTGGTGCAGACTGAGTTCTGCCTAATGGTTTATGTCTATAGAAAGGAAAAGATCATGTTTGTTAATACCTTCCTGATAGACAACTTTCAAATTCGTAATGTCCAGTAGATTTCCTATGTCACAATGCTCATGTTATTACGTCACAGTAAGAACTGATTGTTTAAGGACATCATTAACGCTGATTGACCTTGAGTCAACCGCTGTAACTCATTCATTAAAACAACTTGAGATTGGTCAATGGGTTTCATAATGAGTGAGAATGCTTGATATCAAATTGAGTTATTCTATTCTAATATAATAATAAACAAGCCTTTGATGAGTTTATTATTATTGCTGAAATTAAATAACGACAGATGATATCAAGTGATATCCAATTCTCACAAGTTGTGAAACCTATTTCTCTTATATCAAGTGATATCCAATTCTCACAAGTTGTGAAACCTATTTCTCTTATGGTAAAAATTATCTTTGTGTTAAATAGAAAACAAATTTGGTGAAACATTCTTCTTTTACGATAAACAGCATGACATCATAAGTCCCCATGTCAAACATTAACATCATGCAGACTTTATCAAGCTTTTTGTACACTTCAGAATGGAATAAAATTTGACAAAAAGAATATTTTCAGATGAAACATATGAGTGTTTTGTATCATTATTGAAGAAATCACAATTTGCCAAGTGGGACCTTTAAAAGTCATCATTGACCAAACGAATGGAAATATCACAATAATGTAAAACATTGCAGATAAGCCGGCCAAATTATCCCATTTTATGTATTACTTATACAAATCACATTCCAACCAATGTCACAGGAGAAATATCTCTTCATAATTATGGTTTTAATTTAAACAGCACCAATTTTTTAAAAACTTTTTAAAATACTTGTTCTTAATAAATTCTCGTTAATTTGCTTGATGTATCCTTGATTCATTATTCATTTCTGAATCTGGCAATATCAAGCTTGAGACTATCAACAGTAAGGAATGGTTTTTGGCTTATATATGTCTATACGGTAGCATTGAAGAACTTCACACATCATTTGTTGACATTCAATAACAATTTGTTAATAAAAACAGATGGCACCTCAAACAGATGATTATTACATATTAATTTTATACGATATATAGTCCCAAGTCTACCAGCACACAGATTTAGACTTATAATTACCATGTTAGTTAAGTACTATAAATGTTTGTGTGGTATTGAACTTGGAAATTCGTCGTATACATAATCTTCTAAAATGTTTGTATAATAATCTTGGCCTTTTATAGCTGACTATGCGGTATGGGTTTTGCTCATTGTTGAAGGACGTACGGTGACCTAAAGTTGTTAATTTCTGAGTCATTTGGTCTATTGTGGAGAGTTGTCTCATTGGCAATCATACCACATCTTCTTTTTTAAATTGGGCATACATGTGATAGACCTGGAAAGCTATATTTAAAAATCAAACAGATCTTTGGTATTTGTGATGCCAGGTTGCTGTTTCACTATAGTGTTCCCACAGCTTCTTTCATTCATTATTATGTAATGACTTAACTTGAACATGTCAATGACATGACTGTACAAGTGGAGTACAACTCCACACTAACCTTTTACCGAGATGGCTTGGTTTTGACACCTGACTGTTTAAGCTGGTTCCACAGAATGACCATCTGTTACTCAGAATGGATAGCTTTGACAGTACAGTACTACAAAATAATTACCTATGGATTCTTGATGGGTGGGTTTCTGCTGTTGATGGACTTGCTGTGTTTGCTGGGGGCATGGTGTTGTAGGGACTAACATGTGACATCAATTTTCCTTGACTCCTGGATTCTTCTATTAATTTCATTTGTGTAGATATGTATGCTGGATGATGTGGTGGTATCTCACCTTCCATACCTAGGTATAAAAGTATGAATCATTCAATAAGTAAATGGAGAATGTGTCCCCATTGACAAAGATGATGCCCCGCTTGCATACAACATTATAAAGGGATATATGTTTCATAATGTTTGGTTGGGGCAAACTTAAGTTACAGAACGGAAACAAAAAATTTTGCAATTTTTCGATTTATAAAGGGGCATAACTCGATAATGATTAAAGTGACACTACCAAAATTCAACTTGATCTGTGTTTTCTGGTAAAAAGCATTGTGTATAAGTTTCATAACAATTGGTTGATGCAACTAAAGTTAGAAAAACAGAAACTAAAAATTTTGCATTTTTTTCCATTTATAAAGGAGCATAACTCAAGAATGGTTAAAGTGACCCCACCAAAATTCAAACTTGATCTTTATTTTGTAGTTATAAGCATTGTGTATATGTTTCATAAAATTTAGTTGAGGCAAACTTAAGTTAGAGAACGGAAACTAAAAATTTTGCAATTTTTCCATTTATGAAGGGGCATAACTCTAGAACTGTTAGAGTGACGCTACCAAAATTCAATTTTGATCTGTATTTTGTGGTAATAAGCATTGTGTATAAGTTTCATAACATTTGGTTGAGGCAAACTTAAGTTAGAGAACGGAAACTAAAAATTTTGTAATTTTTCCATTTATAAAGGGGCATAACTCTAGAACGGTTAAAGTGACATCACCAAAATTCAAACTTGATCTGTATTTTGTGGTAATTAGCATTGTGTATAAGTTTCATAATATTTGGTTGAGGCAAACTCAAGTTCGAGAACGGAAACCAATTTTGGGACGTACATACATGCAGACGGACAAGGGTAAAACTTAATGCCCCCTCCGCTATGGCGGGGGCATAAAAATGATAGATCGATGACTGGAAATCTCCAATGGCAAATAATAAATGCATATTTAGGATGATAACATTAGTATATGCCTTGCAAACTTAGCGAGATTTTTAGCATGTTCAAAAGGCAACAATTCAGATGCTCAGTTTTTATACCTCCACTCAAAGTTAATGCCAAAATGTGACAAAAATTTCATACGTATATGAATAACATTTTAAAATATAAGTAATTTGGCCAACAAGTAGTAGAACATTGATGGAACCAAAAACATGCCACATGGTATGGCATAATCCAAATGAATTTTGATGCCTTATATTAATGTAATTGCTGGGAAAAAATGTGACAAAATTTCATATATTTGCATGAGACTTTAAAGATAAAATTTTTTTGGCAAACAGGAAGTACAATATCAGGAATTCAAAACATGTCATTGAATGGCATAATCCGATAAGGCTTGGTGCCATATGTATCAAAAAGCTATGTAGTTGCTTAGAAAATTGGGACATAAATGCTACAGACAGACAGGTGCCAAAAAGACAGACAGTCAGAGGGGGATATAATTAAACAACTTCTATTACTTTAATCATTATCTACAATTAAATTGAAAGAATCTACCTGGTACAGAAGGGTAGTATGGTACGCCTGCTTGGTGGGGGTGGGGCATGTTCATTCTGCCTGCTTCTAATGCCCGTAGTTCACTTTCTGAATGTGGTGGTGATGAGTTGTTTGTACCCTAAAAAGAAAACAAAAATGAAGTATTTATGTATTGTGCAATGGATGGCAGGATAACATAAAAGTGTAATTAACACATAATAAAATCAACTTTGTCTCATTAGTAATTTAAATGTGCAATAGTTTGTATGTGCAGCATTGTGCAGCATTGTGCTTTTAAAACAGGATCAATATTATTCAATTCAATATGATTAATGTGTGAGTAAAGCAGATAGATATGGTATGATATTTAATTGATTTCATCCGCTTATTGAAACATTTTTTTTAAGTTCCAAACCAGATGATTATAGTAGAAATTATATTAGATTTTTACAAAATTAAAGTTTCAGAGAAATAAATGTCATCATCAATTCAGAGTTGTCAAAATGTTTTGTTTAGGAACACACTTCTGCAAAAAAAAAATTTCTTCGAAATATACTATTCATTTATAAATCTTGCAAATCATTTCAATAAGAATATCCTAGATGGTGTGTTGAATAAACAAGAGTGCACACGCTGAAATGTCTCACCTTCTTTACTAATCACTGATATTATGTTGATAGTCCTTAATATAAAGCTTTATTACAACTGTCACATAAACTTAACATTAACCAAGAAAACTAAACATTGACCAATGAACCATGAAAATGAGGACAAAGTCAGATGAACCATGCTAGGCAGGCATGTACAGCTAACAATTCTTCCATACAACAAATATAGTTGACCTATTGCGTATAGTTTAAGAAAAACAGACCAAAACACAAAAACTTAACACTGAGCAACGAACTGAGAAAATGAGGTCAAGGTCAAATAAAACCTGCGCGACTGACATAGAGATCATAAAATATTTCCATACACCAAATATAGTTGACATATTGCATATAGTATTAGAAAAAAAGACCAAAACTTAAAATCTTAACTTTGACCACTGAACCATGAAAATGAGATCAAGGTCAAATGACACCTGCCAGCTAGACATGTACACCTTACAATCATTCCATACACCAAATATAGTAGACCTATTGCATACAGTATAAGAAAAACAGACCAAAACACTACATGTACACCTTACAGTCCTTCCATACACCGAATATACTTGATCTATTGCTTATAGTATCTGAGATATGGACTTGACCACCAAAACTTAACCTTGTTCACTGATCCATGAAATGAGGTCGAGGTCAAGTGAAAACTATCTGACGGGCATGGGGACCTTGCAAGGTACGCACATACCAAATATAGTTATCCTACTACTTATAATAAGAGAGAATTTAACATTACAAAAAATGTTAACTTTTTTTTTTAAGTAGTCACTGAACCATGAAAATGAGGTCAAGGACATTGGACATGTGACTGACGGAAACTTCGTAATATGAGACATCCATATACAAAGTATGAAGCATCCAGGTCTTCCACCTTCTAAAATATAAAGCTTTTAAGAAGTTAGCTAACGCCGCCGCCGCCAGATCACTTTCCCTATGTCGAGCTTTCTGCAACAAAAGTCGCAGGCTCGACAAAAACTAATTTGATAATGTTACCATTGACTACAATTTATGCTTTTTAAGGACATTAGCATGAAATGAGACACAGTCAATTTGGTGGACATTGACAAATCTGGAATAACTATCACCTCTTGGTTTTTCCCTCAATGGAAAGTGTACATGCTTAAAAGACCTTTAATGCTAAAACAAAAATTTGAAATACACCAACTTCCATATTATGTTTTCAGTATAATATTTTTTCCCAGTTACTTTTATTTGCATATTCAGTATCAAAGGTAACTTACTGATGATGATGGTGGACGACCTAATGAAATGTTTGGCAAGGATGGTGACAGGTGGAGATCATTACCATGGTAACCAACAGATCTATATAATGATGCCATCTGGTAACTATGAGAGTCCTGAAACAGAAAAAAAATATACTTTTAGAAATATTACCACAGTATCTCTAAAGTCTATATATCTATATATCTATACTAACCTTTGAGGACTAAAGACATGAACAAAGCCACTTATACACTACAATGATACCATTTTTAAAATGGCTATGTTTTGTTATGTCACTTTGTAAAATATGTAAGGTTAAGCTTAATGATAGACAGCCACTGCTTGATTTATGCATGTATTCTACTGATATTGAAACTATGTTAAAAGTTAAGCCCTCCTTGTTCACATCCATACTATTGCATGAGTAATAAATGTGGATAGTGTCCACATGTGGACACAGATGATGCCCCCGCTTGCATATCATATAGTTATAAAGGGACATAACTGAAGAACGGTAAAAGTGACGCTACCCAAATTTGAACTTGATCTGAGTATTGTGGTAATAAGCATTGTGTGTAAGTCTCATAAAATTTGGTTGAGGCTAACTTAAGTAGAGAAAAGAAACTAAAAATTCAGCAATTTTTCTATTTGTAAACACACATAACTCTAGAACAGTTGTGTATAAGTTTTATAACATTTGGTTGAGACAAACTAAAGTTAGAGAACGGAAACAAAAATTCAGCAATTTTTATGTTTATAAAGGGACATAACTCAAGAATGATAAAAGTGTCGCCACCAAATTTCGTACTTAATCTGTATTATGTAGTAATAAGCATTGTGTATAAGTTTCATAACATTTGGTTGAGGCAAACTAAAGTTAGAAAACAGAAACAAAAAATTTGTACTTGATCTTAGTTTTGAGGTAATGAATATTGTGTATAGGTTTAATAATGTTTGGTTTAGGGCAAACTTAAGTTACAGAATGGAAACTAAAAATTTTGCAATCTTTCGATTTATAAAGGGGCATAACTCAATAATGGTTAAAGTGACACTACCCAAATTCAACTTGATCTGTGTTTTATCAGTGGAAGTCAAAATTAAACATTGCAATGTATAAAGCATTGATTGTAGTTGATTCAACTATAATCATGGACAAAGGAAGATAACTCCAATTTTAAAAATTACTTGATATTTAGAAGAAAATAAAAATTTTGCAATTTTTCCATTTATAAAGGGGCATAACTCTAGAATGGTTAAAGTGACGCCACCAAAATTCAAACTTGATCTGTGTTTTGTGGTAATTAGCATTGTGTATAAGTTTCATAACATTTAGTTGAGGCAAACTTAAGTTAGAGAACAGAAACTAAAATTTTGCAATTTTTCCATTTATAAAGGGGCATAACTCTAGAACGGTTAAAGTGACGCCACCAAAATTCAAACTTGTTCTGTGTTTTGTGGTAATAAGCATTGTGTATAAGTTTCATAACATTTGGTTGAGGCAAACTAAAGTTAGAGAATGGAAACCAATTTTGGGACGTACAGACGGACGGACATACGTATGTACAGACGGACAAGGGTAAAACTTAATGCCCCCACCGCTATGGCGGGGGCATAACAAACTTTGTGATAAGTCAGGACCCTCCCTGTTCACATCCATACTATTGCATTAGTTACAAACTATTTGATAAGTCAGAACCCTCCCTGTTCACATCCATACTATTGTATGAGTTACAAACTATTTGATAAGTCAGAATCCTCCCTGTTCACATCCATACTATTGCATGAGTAACAAACTATGTGATAAGTCAAGACCTGCCCTGTTCACATCCATACTATTGAATGAGTTACAAACTATTTGATAAGTTAAGGCCCTCCCTGTTCACATCCATACTATTGAATGAGTTACAAACTATTTGATAAGTCAAGACCCTCCCTGTTCACATCCATACTATTACATGAGTAACAAACTATGTGATAAGTCAAGACCCTCCCTGTTCACATCCATACTATTGCATGAGTAACAAACTATGTGATAAGTCATGACCTTCCCAGTTCACATCCATACAATTGCATGAGTAACAAACTATGTGATACGTCAGAACCCTCCCTGTTCACATCCATACTATTATATGAGTAAAAAACTATGTGATAAGTCAAGACCCTCCCTGTTCACATCCTTACTATTGCATGAGTTACAAATTATTTTATAAGTCAAGACCCTCCCTGTCCACATCCATACTATTGCATGAGTAACAAACTATGTGATAAGTCATGACCTTCCCAGTTCACATCTATACAATTGCATGAGTAACAAACTATGTGATACGTCAGAACCCTCCCTGTTCACATCCATACTATTATATGAGTAAAAAACTATGTGATAAGTCAAGACCCTCCCTGTTCACATCCTTACTATTGCATGAGTTACAAATTATTTGATAAGTCAAGACCCTCCCTGTTCACATCCTTACTATTGCATGAATAACAAACTATGTGATAAGTCAAGACCCTCCTTGTTCACTTCCTTACTATTGCATGAGTAACAAACTATGTGATAAGTCAGGACCCTCCCTGTTCACATCCTTACCTTTACATGAGTAACAAACTATGTGATAAGTCAAGGCCCTCCCTGTTGACATCCATAATTTTACATGAGTAACAAACTGTGATAAGTCAAGACCCTCCCAGTTCACATCCTTACTATTGCATGAGTAACAAACTATTTGATAAGTCAGGACCCTCCCTGTTCACATCCTTACTATTGCATGAATAACAAACTATGTGATAAGTCAAGACCCTCCCAGTTCACATCCTTACTATTGCATGAGTAACAAACTATGTGATAAGTCAGGACCCTCCCTGTTCACATCCTTACCTTTACATGAGTAACAAACTATGTGATAAGTCAAGGCCCTCCCTGTTCACATCCATAATTTTACATGAGTAACAAACTGTGATAAGTCAAGGCCCTCCCTGTTCACATCCATACTTTTACATGAGTAACAAACTATGTGATAAGTCAAGACCTTCCCTGTTCACATCCTTACTAATGCATTAGTTACAAACTATTTGATAAGTCAAGGCCCTCCCTGTTCACATCCTGAGTATTGCATTAGTAACACAATTTGTGGATTGCTTTCAGCAACACACATTAAAAGCTTTTAATTAATTTTATCACCCCTGATGTAGCTATAACAATTTGTGAAACAACTTTAGGAAAAATTCCATAAAAAGGAAAAATGGTCTCAGCAGGAGATGACTAATTACCAGAAAGAATTGTCACGACTTTGACCTCCTGCAACGATCATCGATAATTCTTCCTTCACGACCAATTACCTCCACAAATTATAAAAATAGAAATGTTTTAGTCATAAATTGAAGCTGATCGGTTAGTATTGTTTTCATCTTATCATTTGATCTTTATAGAATCAATAACATTGTCACGTTATTCTCATAAAAATTCAATGTACCATCCACACAATCTCCTTTTTCTATATTTAGTAACAAATATAATTAAATATTGATTAACTTAATTTTCTTCATCAAACTGCTTACACTGATTGTCTTTTCTTTAGTTAATATTACATTGCGTTTTTGTATTCATCACTTACATTACTTTACACACCTTTTTTTTTCTAAATCTACCAATTAGTAATTACTATTACCATAAAGATTTTCAATTAAAGGACAGCAATCTAGATCAGAAATGTATTGGGTGTTAAAATGTGGTTCCTTTTAATTTATTATCTTACAGGAGCAACAGACATATTAATGATTAGCAATCTATTCCAGTAGGTACATACTATTTTTTTCCTTAAATTTCAGGATGAAAATTATTCTTTTATCAATAGATGTGAAATTATAAAAAAATACAACAAAACTAGAGTCTGGCTGTTTAAAGGGGAGATAGTTGTATTTTGATTTTAAAACCTTATCTTTGGTGAGAAAAAATGCAAACTCTTACGTCAGTGCTGAAAGATAGTTTTAATAGAATTTTTCTCAAAGTTCAAAGATCTGTTGATAAATTTTAAATTGATAATCATTAACCACATGTTGGAAAGCTTTATACATTAAATCTGCACTTTAATAAGAGTCAATCTTCATTTTAATCGTGTTACATTCCATCAAATACTTGTAAACTCCTTCAGTATTTTAAATTTGTTTTACAAATTTTTGAAAATATACATTAGAGTTGCATGAGCAAACCAATGCAGCTGGTAAAAGAAATGTAACTGACATTGTACTAATGGGTTTAATAAGTTTAATTAGTTTACTTGTTATGAAAGATGAGTTAATAGGTATAGAGCTTATGCAGTCAAATAAACAGGTATAGAGCTTAGCAAGTCGAGTAAACAGGTATAGAGCTTATGCCATCAAATCAACAGGTATAGAGCTTATCAAGTCGAGTAAACAGGTATAGAGCTTATTGAGTAAAATAAATATGAATACAGCAATAAACAGAAATAGAGTGTATTAAGTCAAATAAACAGAAATAGAGCTTATTAAGTCAAATAAACAGAAATAGAGCTTATTAAGTCAAATAAACAGAAATAGAGCTTATTAAGTCAAATAAACAGGAATAGAGCTTATTAAGTCAAATAAACAGGAATAGAGCTTATTAAGTCAAATAAACAGAAATAGAGCTTATTAAGTCAAATAAACAGAAATAGAGCGTATTAAGTCAAATAAACAGGAATAGAACTTATTAATTCAAACAAGCATTCTGAGAGTATTGCATAGCAATACATTGTCCCCTACCAGATAAGAATTCATAGTTCTGGAACAAAATGCTAACTTGATCAATAACTTGTCATGTTGTAAACTATATAACAAATATCAAGTCAATATATTCAAGCATGACGAAAAAAAAGTGTGGAAAACTGATTATTTGAGGGAATTTTCTAAGTCAAAGGACCATAACTCTGCACAAAATCATCAGACCGGAACAAAATTCGATCTTGATCTGTAACTTGTCATGTAAAACTATATACCAATTATTAAATCAATAACTTCAAGTATGAAGAAAAAAAGTGTGGAAAACTGATTTGCCGGACTGACGGATGGACAGACAGACAGACAGACAGACGGAAAGAGTGCAAACCTAAATTCCCCTTCGACTTTGTTGGTAGGGGAC